GGACAACACACACTCGGCCTCCGCCGCAACCCCCCCCCCCCCCCTTCCCCTCCCGTCCCCTGCTCCTGCTCCTGCTCCTGCTCCTGCTCCTGCTCCTGCTCCTGCTCCTGCTCCTGCTCCTGCTCCTGCTCCTGCTCTTCCTTTTCTTCTTCCTCCTTCCCGTCGCTTCTTTTTCCCCTCCTGCTCCCTCCCCTTCCCCCAACGTCTGTACCCGTGGGCTGCCATTTGCACTATCCGCTGTCTCTGCTTCCCCATTAGCCTCAACCTCTTCGTTCCTCTGACGTCTCGAAGCATCCTGCTCATCTGAGGAGCGCGGTAATGGGTCAGAACAGCAACGTCATCGAACTACGTCAGCGTGCTTTTCCCCTCCTCCCCATCCCTCCTTCCCTCCCTCCTTGCGCCCTGTTCCACCCCCTCTCCTCTTGTCCTCTTTCTCCCTCATGCCGTCCCTTCTCTTCCTCGTCCCCCCCCCCTGCCCCCACCTCCTTTCATCCTCTTGGTCAGGTTTCCCCCTCCAAGGAATCAGACCTCTCGAAGCTCAGGCTGGAGCAGGTGCAGCCCGTCTGACTCTCCTCCTCTTCCCTTCCACTTTTGCTCCAGCAGCAGCCATCGCCTTTCGATTGCTTCCTCTCTCTTACCCTCGCTTCCCTCCCCTTGCCTGCCTGTTGCCGCCGCTGCTTCTGCTGCTTCCCTGCCTCCCATCCCAGCTTTCCCTCCCACACTCCTCCATTGCAACCTGTTCCTCTTCTTCCGCTGTTGGTAATATCTGAATATCTGCTGGAGTTCTGGGATGGCACGGCAACACCATACACTGGGGCTCCTGTTGCTCCAAGAATGCGTCGCATCCAAGGTCTGACGAGGAGTAAGAGGAGGAGGAGGAGGAGGAGGAGGAGGAGGAGGAGGAGAGCTGAAAGTGAAGTGAAAGGGAGGAGGAGGAGGAGGAGGATGACGTAAGGGTGGTAGGTCGAGCATTGCCTTCACTTTCTGCCGATCAAGGTGCGAATGTTGGGGAACCAACTCTTTGATTGCTGAAGACAAGTTGCCAGCGTGGGGAGTTTGGAGGGAAACACTCTACTCTCAAGGTCTCTCCCCTCCCTCCTTCGTCGCCTTCCCTTTCTCCTTCCATCGCACTGTACCCTCCTCCCTCACGCTCTAAGGGCCTCTATCCTCCTCCCTCCTCCCTCCTCCCTCCTCCCTCCTCCCTCCTCCCCTCCTCCCTCCTTTCAGCGCTCACCCTCACCCTCAAACTTGTCCCAACCCGCAGGGAGACCGTCAGGTCCCTGGACCTTCAGAGTCGGTGAGTCTCACCAGTAGAGGAGGATGGAGGCTGAGCAGGAGGGCAGGCTCGCAGCTGTAGCCCGATCGCTCCTCATGCACAAACGATGGTACTCGCTCAAGGACGACCTGGTGGCTCCTCCTTCCTGCGTCTCGAGGGGCTGACTGGTGCTACGCAGCTGCCGAGCTCCATGTACAGAGAGCACAGCAAGTGAAGTTCTCAGCAACAATGAAGCGATGAGATTCATTTTCAGACTTCTCCTCCCCCCTCCCTCTTCCTCTCCCTCCTCTTCTGCTCATGTCTTGATGATGCCATTTGTCATCGCCGAGCCCCCATTCATGTGCTCTTTCTTCGCCTCTGTCTTCTTCGTCTTACGCCCCCATACCCTAATAGTGTTGTCGTCCGACGCTGACGCGAACATGACAGCATCCTTGGGGTTCCATGCAACCTGTCCATCCTTCAGCCGCACAATCCTTCTTCCTCTCTCGTCACGTCCTCCCTCTTCAACCTCCCTCTTCAACCTCCCTCCTCCCCTTCCTCCTCCCCCTCCTTCTCCCCCTCCTCGTCCTGCCTCACATCACTCACCGAGTTAATCGTGCCCGAGTGTCCTTGGAGTGCATGGATCAGAGCAGCGCTGTCTCTGTGCCACAAGAAGACCCGGCAGTCCTCACTTCCCCCAACAACGAAAGCGTCGCGATTGCCTCCAAAGCTTGATCGGATTACATACCGTCCCTGCTCACGCCCTCAGATCTCCTGAGGGATGGCGATGCTCGCTCACCTGCTTGTGCCCTCGATACCTCTTGAGCAGCTTCTTCTCATCCAGGTCCCACAGGTGCACCTGCGCGAGGATGCTCAGAAGGAGGAAGAGAAAAGCAAGAGAGCAGAAACTGAGAGGGAGGAAGTAAAAGAATGAAAACCAAAGCGAGGAGTTAATGCTGAATGGGTGGAAGAGACAATCAAAGAAAGGAAGGAAACCAATGCGAGAGAGAACAGGGGAACGAAGGGGGAAAGGAGGCCTTCCGTCACCTCAGGTTGGGGCTCCTGCGTTGCCGCGTTGCACGTTGACTGACTGTCGCTCGACACATTGACGAGGGCATAGCGCCCGTCATGGCTGATACAGACCGACGTCATGCTCCCTTGCTCGTTGAAAGTCATTGTTGCCGCCTTGTTCGACTCGACCATGTGAGGTAGCGAGTACACGCGTATCCGCTGCTCTGGCGAGATCAGGACGAGCCGCCGTCCGTCTTTGCTAACCGCTAGGTCGGTGACCCGTTCCCCCGAAATGATCTTCTCCGGCTCCTCATTCTTGGCGTTCCAGACGATGAGTTTCTTGTCATAACTTCCAGACACAAACCTATCGTCATCGTGCAGCCATGCGATCGCGCTGACACTCTCTGTATGAACTTTGAACTCTCTCAACATGTCCCCTGTCTGCGTCTCCCACAACTTGATCGTAAGATCTCCACCACCGGAGAGAAGCCACCGATCATCTGGGCTCCATGCCACAATGTTGACAGCTTGCTCATGCCCCTTAAGAACCTTATACACATTAAATTGTTCCTCCACAGACCATATGATGACTGTCTTATCCTTGCTCGCTGAAGCCAAAAACTTCCCATCATTCGAGAATTGTACATGCCATACTTCGTCCTTGTGAAGCTCCAGCAGATGTATCGTTTCATTTGGTACTAAGTCGTCTGTCGCATGACAGTCGACGAGGAGATTACTTGTGACAACAAGTCAGAAACCCGACACCAAACAAGCAAGAAAGCCTCACGTCCAGGGCTCGTTTCTATTATATCTTAGACATTGACTCATCTGAGGATTCACAAGTGAGCAAAATGCAATTCGAGAAAGGAAAGCATCAAGACCTGGTATTTCAAAGCTTGCTGCAAAAGGTAATCTAATCGACGAGGCGGAATGATGGCGCTCGGCGGTAGCTCTTGTTCGATTTGCTGCATCCAGCCGGTGACATTCAGCCTCTACAGTCAACAGGACGAACCTTCAAGACTTCCCGTCTTCCTGCCTGGTTTGCACCGAGCCATCTTGAAACAAATCATAGTCATATAACCGATCAGGGCCCTGAGGACAATGGATACTTGGCTTGTTTCTTCAGCGTCTCTTCGTCCTTACACAAAACCAAACAAGCAAGGCTATGCGACATTTTTGAGTCCTGCAGAGATCTTAAGCTACATAGTGACTAGAAGGATACTCGAGACCTCTGTGAGTGGAGTGATCTCTGCGCGTAGGCAGTTCATAGCTTCCGCAATCCTCTCACTCTGAAGCATCTCAAGAAACTTCTGTCGCTTGATTACAAGTCGGCATCTGTAAACATGTACAATTACAACGCAAACAGCCACAAAACATCAAAGCATCAGAATGACAAAGTTCGATTTTTACGACACAGCAGCTAGGTGAGTCTCATACTTCAATGTTTGTTCATCATTGAGCTCTAATTGAGGGAGCAATGATTCAGCCTTGTCCCAGCAACCTTGCAAGGCTGCTTGTTCCAACTCCTCCACAGCTGGACTTCTTAATCTGATTCCTGTTTCTTGTTCCAGCATCTCTGCGCTCTGGCTGCATGACAAAATCACAAATGGGGAAAAATCTCGAAAAACTCACCGGCAACCCAGATGTTCTAAAGCTTGGATCACTATTCTGATGTAATCACGATGATGAAAGGGGTGTTCCCTGTTTGCAATCCCATTTACCGCCTGCCTTGATGGTAAGATGCACAGGATCTTCTCGACTGCAGCAGCAGCAGGCAGCTGCTGTAGGCATTTCGTGCTCAACTGACCTCCTCCCCTTCACCATCTTCTTGAAGGCCCGCTATTCTCATCTGACCGTTTGGAGCGCTGATGCTGTCTGCTGCTCCATACTTGCCATCAAAGGCAAGACAGGTCTTTTCCTTCTCTGAAGCCCCATCTTCGGTCTCGCACTCCCTGCATATTTGTGCAGATTCTGCAGGTTGTCAGTGTGGGGCAAGTCTCGCAAAGTGAACAACAACCTGCATAAACTTTCGAGCCGCCGGCATCTAGTATTATAAGCAAGATTCAGAACTTCACAGAGATTGTTCATCGAGCATCATATCACACATCACGAGAGTTTCTTTCACAAAACAGTTCGGAATCAAACCAGACAAAATAGACTTGTACGAAGAACGAATTACCTCCCTCCCTTCTACCACCCATGTTGGAGGCAGCGCTTCGAGGGCGCTTGCGGGGAGGGGAACCGTCCGATCCAGACAAGGACGTGGTGACTGGGAGCAGCAATGTGCTCGTTTGCCTGCTCTCTGTCGCGTCCTCCTCGCAAACCCTGTTAGAACGAATCGTCAAAGAAAGGGTCATGATTGATAGAGAATCGCCAGCATCTGATAGCTAAGACATGCAGAAACACGAAAAGAGGACATGATCAAGATACGCCAGAGGGAAACAAAGTCAGAAAGTAGCAATGGCTGCAACAAAACTAATGGACGGAGAAGACGCAATGCGGGAAGGCAGGAAACTCTAAGTTGGACGAGATAACTCGGAGCAGAGGATGGTTGCTAGGGAGATGGAGGTGAGCAAGGAGGGCAAGAGCGGAAGGGGAGGAGGAGAGGAGAAGTTGAAAGGCCGATAGCCGCTCATTGTCCCAACTTGCAGTCTGTCATGGCATAGTGTAGCTTAGGGGTTCGAAGGGGTGGGAGGGGGATCGGGGTCAAAGAATGATGGTGGGGTAGTCTCCAAATCTCATGAGGGGTGATACAATTACAATACTAAAAGAATTCTATGTGGTAGGGTGGGGTGAAGACTGTAGATGGTGACATGGGGTACAGGGTGTCCGAGAACAGAAGGGTAGGGTACAAAAATAGGGGTGTCTGGACACTGGGGTTAGAAGTGGGATATCAAAGGTAGGGGTAGTCACAAGTAATAGCATGGGGTGTTACAGAAAGAGTGCTTTAGGGAGATGGAGGGTAGTCAGTTGAACGAGGCGGGGATGAGGGTTAAGAAACATATTTTCGCTAGTGGGTGGGGTTATGGTGACGTCTATCGTATATCACCGGTATTTTGTCAAGTAAAAAAGGGGGTACACAAAATTTGGGGTCATTGACAAATAGATCCAGTAGGGTAGGGGTGGAAGAGATATTGGGGTAGGGGTACTGAGATGGGTCTCCAAAGGGGGTGGAAGTGTGAGGGTTGTAGGTGCTGTTCAGGAGGGGGTAGGGGTACTCCACATGGAAAAGAATAGAGGGAAAGGTGGGGTGGGGTGGAATAAGTTAAGAAGGGGAACTGCACCGGTGGATGTCGAAGGAAACCAGATTGTACCTTACCCCCTATATATCCAACATGTGGGGTCGTAGCACAGGGTGGTCAATCGTGAAAGGTTTCCCCCGGAGGCATAGGGAGAGGAAATGGAACGACAGGAGGGGGAGAGGGAGGAGGGAAACGTTACACGATGACAGGAAGCAGATAGATGTTGAACACGACACAGACCTCTAGCTTCGGTAGGAGGAGATCCAGACATGAGGAGTAGACAGGAAAGTTTAGGGGATGAGGCATGAAAGCGTTGTAGATAGAACACACTTTTGAGTTTGAGACGAGAGCGATGTAAAGATAAGTGTGAACTGTTTGATTGATGGTTCGCTGATATGGCGTGTTTGATTCCCTCAGGTTGCATATTGTCTCTGACCAGGACGCCCTTTCGCTTTGCGGCACATAGGGAAGGGGTGCCATGGCTGTGCACATCAGGAAGTACAATGATCACGATGACGCGGCCGTGAAGGAGCTCTCGGAGAAGACGGTCATGGGAAGCTCCATGGCGTCGATCATCAGGAAGCTGATAAACGTGAGTTTGTCTCCCTCATGATGTTTCCCTTCGCACTGCGAGTCTTTCATTCGATCTCTTCTTCGAGCCCTTGCCCAATCTTTTTGGACATGCGACAACCTGCCCTCTGCTACACTCTTGGAGGTCAAGGAAGTCGCGCTGATGGTTCTCTCCAGGTCTTTCCTCGCTATTCGGGGACTTACAGACACAGGGCGTCGGAGTTCCGACGCAACGAGATCTTCGTGGCCGAGATCGAGAGGCAGCTGGTGGGGGTGGTGAACTTGGGGATCAAGGACGTTTACCTCAAGGGGAAGCTAGCAAAGATTGGGTATGTGTTTGGTCTGCGGGTGTCTGAAAAGCATCAGGGAAGGGGCATCGGGATGAAGCTCATGCAGGAGGTGGAGTTTGCGGGGAAGGCGGCCGGCTGCTCGCACTTGATCCTGACCACCAACCGAGACAACAAGAACGCTCGGAGGCTGTTCGAGGACAACTTGGGTTACTCGTGCATGTCCGATCGGTACATCAGCTTCAGCCCCTTGCACGCCGTCAAGGATGAAAGCTGCACGCCGGTCCAGCTCATCACATCGCGGGAAGAAGCAAGCAGGGTGCACCAACAGTTCCACGTGGGGAGGGACTTCTCCCCCGTGGATGAGCAGGAGATCGTCACGTCCGAGGCGTTCCTAGGGGCCCTCTACACGAGGAGGGAGCAGGACAAGTCAGAAGCCTGCGCCTTCCTGTGGGACGCCTCCCTCTCGAAGAAGCTCATCTTTGCCGGGCATCTGCCTAGCTTCTTCAGCCGCCCCACGTCCTACCCTGGAGTGCTACTTGTCTGTCTGGGGGTGGCAGGAATTTGCGTCGCTCACCTATCCTCCCTCTTCCTGCAGAAGCGCATGGGGCTGCTGCTGGGAGAGGTCGTCTTCGCGGCCACGTGCGCATACTTCTGGCGAAAGTTGAACAACTTGATCAGCTTCGTAGCTCAGCGTGAGATGAAAACTGTCAGAATCTTCGGGCACGCAGGCCGAGGTCCCAATTCTGGCACTCTCTTGAAGAGCATCTTTGACGAGGCCAAGGTCAGGAGCAGGAGAGAGTTCAAGGCAGCGGTGGTGGTGTACAACACTGACACTCTGGATCCGGTGCTAGACGACCTCTTTTCCCCGACTAACGTGTTGGGGATGCCAAAGAGGAAGAGATCCTTCACTCTCTTCCTGCAGAAGAAGCTGAGCGACGACGAAGACAACCTGCCTCCCCACCATCCCAACATGTACTTTGACCCCCGGTACATCTAGCCCATGGCCTGTTCAGGCCTCTGGCGTCACGAAGTTTCCCAGTGCCTTGACTTCTCTCCTCCCCTTCCTCTTTTTCAACCCGATGACGAAGACAGCAATGAGTTTGAGCAGCACACTACAATCTTCATTGCTCCCCTCGGTCCCTTGTCCTTTCCCTACTCCTTCTCCTCTCCGCTGTTCGCTGAGCAGGAACAATAAATTTTCCTCGTTGCTCCAAAATCTACTTTGCGGCAGAGATGCGATCAAGCCCGCCGACCATGCAGTCTTGAAGCAAACCTTTGCAACCGTCCTGCAAAAAGAATCAATAGATCTCGGCGTCGTCTCCAGTCTGAACCTCGATCAAATCAAGAACCTTCTCAAACACCTGCTTCCATATCAGATGTATGCGCTGAATTTTTCCTTCTCCCCAACCTGTCCTGATGGCTGCATCCCTCTCCCTCCGTAGTATGGATCAGGAATATCCTGGATCCAGGTTAAAAAGCGGAAGAAGAGGTCGAACGAACTAGCGAGGGATGTAAAAGAAGAACAACGAAAGAGGACGACGAGAGCGGTGAAGGAGAATGGGCGTACAGTTGTCATCGTTCCACTCCGGCAATATTCGGTGAGTCTCTTCACCTTGCAACAAGATTACTCCTTGCACGACTGGTATCGTCTTGCTGTCTCTTCTCTTTTTCCTCTCCCTTTCTTCTAAAATCTCTCCTCTAACCCATCACCGTTTCCCCCCATACATCTTTAACACGCTGCTCGAGCTCTCCTCTTTTCCCCTCCCCTATCTTCCTCTTCTTTCTCTCCCCTTCCTCCCTCACTCCTCTCCCCTGCCTGTACCTTATCATCAACACTTCCGCGCAGCCCCCAGTAGGAGGCAGCTGCCTGTACCTCGACACGATTCGCGTTGTCCATGATGACAACAAGATCTGCGCGCTGCAGGTCTTGAGGCCAGACGAGTCAAACTCTCTCGTTACAGCACGACTCTGCGCTCCTCCCTCACCTTCCTTGGTCATCACCTTTGACTGCCTCCCAGCGAGATTCAGCCCTGCTCGCAGGTGACCCGTCAGCCTCAGGTTGCAGGTTCCGACAGCATCGAATCCCGGTTACCTCTCCTTGACGCATGCGAGACCATGCGAGGATCGGACGCTTCTACTTCGATGTTCGACGAGACCTCTGGCTTGAACCAGTTGTTGGTGCCGCTCCCTGTTCCCTCCATCAGTTGAATCTAACCATCCCGACTAGGAGCTTCTGAAGGTGAATCTTGCCGTCTACGCTGAGATACATCACGCAGCTTTTTTTTCCTATTCTATGTCTCGCTGGAACTTCGACAGATCTCCCAAACATACCAGTGCTGCAGGAGGAAACTTCAAAGTACGAAGACAGTCCGTCGTTCTTGAGGAGAGTCTTCATCGTTTGCTCAGCAGCAGGTGATCTTGAACTTGTATGAGATGGACACAAACATGACAAGAACAATCACCTGCATGTGTTGCTAAGATCAACGAAGAGAATTCGAACTTTCCTCCCGGCAGCGAGCGCCTCCTTGGTTACGGAGGCCTCAATCCCTGAATTCTTCTCTTTCTTGGCCACCATCGACCTGAGAAGCAATGAGCGGGGCAGAGAGAAGAAAGGAGGATGCAACGAGAGTGAGAGCTAAAGAAGTCGAACCTGTGATATCTCAGCCGCTCTTCGTGATACTTTAATCTTTCCTCGTGATACTTGATCCTGCCAAGTAAAGTATCGATACCAACGATACGAGCAAAGCAGGGAATAACCTGGATTCGTGATATCCTTTGTCCATGTTCTGATCCTTGGGAGCCCATGGACCGATAGGCCATAGCTGGGCTACGACATCCATCCTTCTGCGACTTGCCATGCGAGTAGAATGGGCAGGACATCTGAAAACCTAGTAAAAAGTTGACAGCAAACTCGACATGATCTCTACGCACTTCTTGGAGACGAAGGAAGAGGAAGGGGAGAAGGAAACAAACAAGGAAGGTTTCGATGCAGAGCATGACATGAAGGCCTCTGCTGAGCCCGCCAGCATAATCAGCCCCGCCAACATTCGCAATGTCGCTCCTGTCATGGCGCAGCGTGTAGACTTATTACACCCCATACTGACCCCTCAATTCTCCCTAGTAACCACCCGTTCCCAGACCCCTTCCATCAATTGTCTCAAGCGCTATCTATCACTTGCAGCCTTCACTGAGTGCCTGAGGCTCACTGAGTCAGGACGCACGCGGTCACTTTGCTTCCAACTTGATCACTTGTGGACAACCCTGGCAAGCCTGCAGGCGAACAGAGCGATCTCTTAGTCTCATCTAGTACACGAGCGATCTCTTAGCTTCATCTAGTACAAGAGCGATCTCCGAGGTGGTGACTTAGAGTCACTGGCGGATCTAGCCGGGCCCGGGGCGCCGTACTCAGGCCCGCCCCATTTGCCCCCGGGCGCGGCCGGACGGTTTTGACTGTGACGTGAGCCTACGTGCCGGGAGAAGCCACGGACTCAGACTGATGGAGTACGAGTTCAAGTTGTTAGCCTTTACCATGCCAAAGTAATGCAGATATCATGTCGACCTCAGCAGCAACAAGTCTGGCACTTTTTGCTCATGACCGAGTTTGAATGCACACTGCGAAACAGGGGTTGACAAGCACTTGAGAGATAGACTATATGCTAGCCTAGTAGCCTCAGGCCTGATGTGAAACCCAAGCATCCAGGCATGAGAGGACCTCATTTGCGGCAACACGGCTAGGAAGGCCTCCGAGGCTCTTCGTCAAACATACTACTATCCATCACATTCTCATCAATCTGAATGCCTCCGGTACTAAACGGCGCCTCAGCTGATGCATCACAGTATATCCTCTCCGAATCTCAAATCTAGTAAGACATCGGTCGCCAGGACTTGAGCTCAACTTGGCAACTTAAATGGACTTCTGAGGGGACAAAACTGATTTACAACCGTCAACACTGAACGTCGAGACTCTCGAATTAAGACTCGTGACTTGATAGAGGGTCGGATGAAGAGTTCTTGGCGACGTCACTCCACGACTCATCCCAGCGCTTCAAGTCAAACGACGACGATGAGGACGATGAGGAGGAGAGGGAGGGGCCCATGGCAAGAAGGCGGAGGGAGGAAGAGGAAAGTGAAGTCAGCACACCTCGGAGCAGAGGATCTCGCAACATCACTTACATCAGGTACCCTCGCTCCAGCTCCAGCAGCACCTGCCTGGCCGTCTAGATCGTCTGAACTTGGAGGAGGAGGAGGAGGAGGAGGAGCCTGAGGTTGCTGCCCGGCCGCCTCTGCTCTGGGCGGCTGCGAAGCAGCAGCGGCAGCAGTGCCTGTCCACCGAGCCTGCACAACCTCAACATGACGTCATCATGGACTGGCTCCACCTGCAGCCAGGTCTCGTAGTCGTCTTCCTCTCCTTCAAGGCTCTCCCTCTCCTCGCCTGCTATCCCCGTCAGGTCCCGGGGGAACTTGGAGCGAGCGGGAGGGAGACTCAATGGATGGGGGAAGGGGGAAGGAGGTAGTGACTCACTGTAGCTCTGGGAGAAGGTCTCGCACAACTTCAAAACGATGAAACGGAGGTCGCCCATGGTCGGCAGCACAAGTCTAGCTCGCCACGTCATCCGGGCACCGCCATGACACCCGGCCTCCCCCATACCTCTGAACGCTCAGGCCCCGGTGATCTTTGGGCTCATACTTGCCATCGGCCTCTATGGCTCGAGTGAGCTCGCCGAGCCTGTAGACCTGCTGGGGAGTCAGCTGAGGAGGAGGAGGAGAGGGGAGGAGGCGCACAGAGGATCCCTCCATCTTGGCGGTGAAGGGCGTTGTCTTCAGTCGCTGCATGACTTCCTCCTCTGCCCATCAGCCCAGGTGAGGAGAGGAGAAACAAGGAGTGATGATGAGGGGAGAAGCAGGGGGCGAATGTGGGAGGGAGGACGAGGGAGAGTTGGAAAGGAGGAAGAGGGAAAGGGTAGGGGGGAAGGACGGATGAGTCGGAGAAGACCTTCAGCTTCCTTGACCAGCACGTAGAGCTTCGTGTCGTCGATCCACTTGATGTTGCAGCTGGTCTGGAAGAGCCTGAGGGACGAGGAGGCAGGTCATTAGCGCCCTCTTGACCGCCAGCAACAGTGAGGGCTCACGCTTGGACGTCCTTGTTGCAGACTTTCTTCCGATTCTTCGATCCTGCTGTGGAGATGAAGAAGATGCAGCCCACGACGCCCTGGATGCTGCGAGCAGGGATGGGAAATCAGCAAGAGCGAGGGGGAACCTCTGACGTCACCTCATCCTCTCCTTGTACTCTGCCGACAGCCTACAGACGTAGTTGGATACATTCCTCCTGACATACTGTGGAGGTTGTGCAGGACGGTTGATGTAGCCTGAAGGTCGACGAGGGTGAAATTTCATCACAGCGCACCAAGCCCCACCTGTCCCGACGAGCTGCGGAAAGTCTTCTTGGACTTCCTCTACCCTCCTCCTCGCGTCATTGCCGTAGCTCGGGAAAAAATCCTCGTCGTCGTCGATGAGGAAAGGAAAGTTCTCTTCGCGTCCAACTCCAGCCATGCTGCGTTGTTGAGACCCAAAGTTTGCGGATTGCCCGGTAGGTACATTGCGATCATTTCGAAAACCCCTCTGCTGCCCCTGAAATCGATTCTCAGGTCTTCCAGTCTCCCTCTCTCGTGTCCTTCCTCCAAACACAGCCTCCATGATCGCAGCAGCCTGTTCCCTAAGGGCTGCGGGGGGGGGGGTAAGGTTCGGAGGGGGAGGAGCGCGGTAGAGACCTGTTATCCTCTCTGTCGGATCGTTCAATCTCTCCTTGAATTCGAAGACTTCCTTCACTCCGACCTTCTTGAGCCGGCATGCGGCAAGGTGCCGGTCAAGAGCTTCGCAGTCCTCCTTAGTGATGGGTCGGCGGCTGATCGTTCCTTACATCAGCTTCCAGTGCAAGTGAGGTACAGCCGTTTCTCACCTGACTGGGTGAGTGAAGGTTCCCGAAGACACGAGGTAGTTGGCGAGGATCTGGGGGTCGAACCAAACCTAGAGGCTTTCGTGAGTCCCTTCCGGCCCTCGTGAGGCAACTTCACCGAGATGTCATCGTTGGCCTTGAGATCGAACGGTTCATATCTCAGCTGGCCGATAGGCTCTAGCGAAATCGGGTCGTCTTCCTGTAGAATCTTCCACCACTTCCTCCGCTTGTCGTTGTTGTGCTTCGAGATGTTTTCCTTCATGTTCAAGGTGGATTTCTGCAGAATAGGAAAGTTTTAATCTGGTTAATGGCGGAGACTCGTCAAACCTTGTCCTCCTTAAGTTGATTGTCTTGAGGTCCCTTCTGCCGTCTTGCCCCTTGTCAAAAATCTCATGATCCAACTCAACGATTCCTGCGCATGCTTACCCTGCTTCTTGGATTGTTTGTCATGATCATTAGCATTAGGAAGCGATTCCTGGACATCAAATCAGACTGTCTGTCCATGATGTCTCGTATATCACGTACATAAGTTCCTTTGGCACTCTCCTCCTCTTCTTCTACCCTCCTGTTGCTTCTCTTTTCCTTCCCTTCACCCTGCGCATCGTCGCTTGCCGCTTCAGGCCTTGTGCGACGCTGCTGCTGCTGCTGCTGAGGCTTGTTGCGTTTGTTCTTCTTGCTCTGAGTGGAGCCGGGCATGGCTACATGAGCTGGTCCACAGGCCAGCACGGCCTCATCCTGCAGGGCGACATGCGGAACGAACTCTGGCGCATCAACTCGCCATGGGACGAGCGAGCTTGCGAGAAAAGCGTCCCCGACATGCGGTTGAGAATCTGCGAGCTCATGTCAGCACAGCAAGGTGAGCGCATGCTTCATGACTTGGAGCGTTGGCAAGGTTCACACCTGAGGGCATGTGATGAGTCTCTGTAGCAGAGGCACCTGCTGGATCTGGAACAATGCATCTCAGTGAGCAGTTAGCAGTTGAAAGGGGCGGGGCGGGGTGCCAGGAAAGGGGAAACGGGGAGGAGTAATCAGTCTCGTCGTCAATCAGGGTCAAGGGAGACTAGAAGGAGCACCGTTCACGCTGACGGGTCTGCTCTTCTCTGTTCTCGGTTTGTGTCTCCTCCTCACAGGTCTCGACGCCTTCGCCTCCTGTACAACCATCCATCACCTCCTCCCTTCCTGAACCTGAACTACCGCGGCAGACGGCTGAGCCGCATCAGCAGAGGGTTTGTCTTGAGACGGTGCATGCGAGGGAGCGGAAGGTCCTGCCGAGTCTGCTTGCTGCTGTGCCTGAGACCATTGTCAACGTGGACGGCTATGGCAGTATTAGTAGACTCACTGGCGGGGCTCCGCTTCCATGGCTGCTCAGAGTGCAAGGTGTCAACGAAGCATGAAGAGAAGAGGAGGAAGGAGAAGGCTCATCACCTGCTGGCTTCCTCAGTTTGTTGCCCTGCAGGATGATCCGCCTTCTTTCGGGGCCGCCTGAAGAACCTGGGCCTGAAAGCAAAGCAAAGCAATATCATCATTTCAGGCACCGAACGCCTCTCTGTTGCAGTTGAACTGTCAAGCAAAGGCTAGCGATCTAATCTCATTGATTTACATTGAATGCAGATTAGAGACCATCAAGGTTCTATTTCATTTTCCATCTGAACCCCCCGAAATTCCTGAATGTCTGCCACATTGCTCCTGTTCATATCACCGCTACGTCTATCACTTGATGTCCTAAGACCGACTAAGTGTCTCGTCTACAACATCATCATGGTTGGTCTCATATCATCATCATCATCATCATCATCATCCTCTCCTGTCTACATCTTGGTTGCATGCTCCGCACCTGCTATCTGCCATGGCGAGTCCCAGACAGAAAACTCTTCTACGACGGGTGTGATTCCAGACAGGGAAGGGTGGGGTACAAAGACGCTAAATCAGAGGGGTCAGGGAGTAAAGCTGCATTATTCCATAGGGGTGGGGTGTTGGTTTTCTGGATGGGTACTTTGGAAGTAGAAAGAGGGGGTAAGTTAGATAAGGATTTTGGGGGGTATAGGGTATGATTGGAGGTAATCCTCTAGATCAAAAGTGGGGTCATTAGATGATAATTGGTGGGTAGGGGTAAACAATGGTGGGGTGCTGATGTGTGTTGGGGGGTAATCTCCTGCGCACATGCGAGTGATAACAGAAAATAGGGGGTGGGGTTTGACCTACCTGGTAGGGTAGGGTGGTATAGAATACCATCGGGGGGCTGGGTAACCAATTCTAAAAGTGGGTAGGGTATCATCAGCACCCGTGTACTGATGTAGAAAGGATGCTTCGTTGGACCGGTTAATATGAAAAATTGATCAGGGTAAGAAGTGGGTACTTCAAACTAAAGGGTGGGGTCAGCCACCCCCCATAGAGAAGAAGAAAGTGGATGGGTGGGTTGTTCGCGGCCTCGAGTAGGATGGCGCGGACAGCGATGGTGGCCACCCTAGGAGCGGCGACGCTGATATGCTCGTGGTCCTTCCCTCTCCCGCCCTCCCACCTTCCTCTGTCGCTGTCGTCATCGTCCCACTTGTCTGCTCCTCTCTCCCGCTCCTCACTTGTTGCTGCTCGCTACCCTGTTTCCCTGTCGCGCCTTTCCGCCCCCCAGTCGTACCTCCTCACACCAGTCCAATTGTCCTCCGCCGATCACCACAGCACGGGCATTCTCTCTTTGAGATCACGAGTAGATGGCCCCTTGAGCTCTGGAGCGTTCGGCGACCAAAGTTCGAGCAAAAGTCACGGAAGCTTTCTCAGACAGCGATCTGTGCGAAGGATCGGTGTTCAAGTAAGATCCGGAGGGCCATATGTCGGAGAGAAGATGGGAGAGAACGAGATTCTGTTTGATGAGGAAGATTTGAAGAGGATGAAGGTGCCTGATCTCAAAGAGCTCTGCGGCAAGTATGGCCTGTTGAAAACAGGGAAGAAGCAGGAGCTGATCGACCGCCTGATGGAGTATCAGATGGAGCTGATGGATTCGGACGGCGATGGCCCAATGGCTAATGTAGGAAACGATGACGACGAGGATGCGGAGACGTTCTACTCGTCTGTCGGTGAAGGGGGCGGAGAGCAGGAGAATGTTCTGATGGGGGAAGAGGAGATCATGGCGCAGCAGCGGTCCAACATAGCACGGGCAACAGGAATGATCGTGAAGACGATGGGGAAGCTGGAGGAGGGGAGCGAGAGATTCATCACTCAGACTCGAACTGGTAACTGCTGGCATGGACTGTTCTTTGAGATCGAGGCGAAGAGCAAGGGAGTGACGATCACTTCGATCAACACTGCCAGCTCTCCTGAGCATTTCGGTCCCATCCGAGAGGACAAGATGAATGTCTGGTTCTACACGTGCGAAGGAAGCTGCAAAGACAAGGAATTAGATCCGAGTGCTTGGACGATGATAGGTGAAGAGAGAGGAATACAATTGCCAACTGTTTCTTATGGAGACTTGGAGGTCTACTTGCTTTTTCCTTTCCTTAACCATGTTCTCACCCGCTCCTTCAGGCTTCTTATGGACCTTTGCCCATGGGCAAAGAAATCTTTATCCCGCCGAACAGTGTCCGAAGTTTTTGCGTGTTTTGTAGCAGTTGGCGTGGGGTTGTTCTTCGAGCGAATTTGGGGTCGCCGCAAGGATTTGAGAGAGGTGCGACAGCAAGTTCGTCGAGCTAGCTTGTCCTCTGATCTGATGGTGGCAGGGCAAGTGACCGACGAGGATGATCACATCAGACTTCGCGCTGGATACCTGCCCAAGAACGACGCAAGTTACGAGGACACGATGTACGAATCTCTCGTTGCCTGACCTGTAGTTCTGTGGAAGATGAACTCCAGTGTGGATGGTGCGAGAATGCTTACAGCCTGTTTCAGGTTCATGGAAGTATACGAGCCGAAAATGGCTAACGCATTTGTCGGTGCGATTGAGGTGAAACTGTTGCATGCTATTTTGCTAATTCTCACCATAGCACTTTATACAGTACAAAGTCGCAGACTAGTAGGCAGGATTGTTATTTTTCATTCGGGTTGCCTGTGAGAAACGAGGTACAAAGGTTGGCGAGGAGGTGTCAACAGTTGGAAGTTTTCGACTTGAAACCATTAAAATTTGAACGAAATGTAAAGTCGGGGCCGGAGTAACAAACGGGGCAAGCTGCCAACGGAGCTGGGAGTGGCAGTTGCGTGATACAAGCTCGAGTGCGAGTCAACTTCGTTCCTGACGCTCCATGACCAAGGCAGATTAATCTGCTCATTATGAAAACACAGGCAACATCTTGAGCTTGCACAGGATATCTTTTATGCTATTTGTTTTGCAGAAGGTTTGAAATCAATATTAACAACTACAGCGCGGTCATCCATTCATGGAGCAGGCCCTTTGAAGTCCCAATCGTTGAACATGGTGGCGGCAGTGAGGGTATGCACCCAGGGGATGATGGGCTCGGAATAATCGTAACCGAGGTAAATGATCCTCCCCTGTCCCATGGGGATCTCGAAAACTACCGACACGTCCTCAGCCTCGTAGTAGCTGATGGCGTTCGGGGGGAGGGAGGAGAGCTGGACGCCAGTGACGGAGGTCTCCGGACCAGGCAGAGAGACAGGAAGAGCAGCAAAAGGAGTGTTGGCCCTCTGCGCAGACTGAGCCTCGTAAGGGCCGTCGACCCATCCCGGCTCAAGCTCAAACCCACCATCGACGCTAGCGATGTTCTGATTGATGAACCTGTTCGAAGAGGTGTAAGAAAGAAGGCAGAAAGAAGGCAAGACGTGTTGATATCAAACTCACAAGATTGAAGATGTCCCTCCGCACACTACCAGCGTGTTATAACCTTCCTTCAGGTAACGATATAGCCTGTAGACGCCCTTGTCGTCCAAGACAGGCCCAGCACCATTAGAGAGAGGAGGGATCACGAGGGTAGAGCATGCATTGCGATAGAAGAAGCGGAACTGCGCCCCGTCAAAGTCCCCGATATAGCTGTTCCCTTGCATTCCACGTTGGCATGAACGCAGGTCGCACGACCCACCAAACGCAAGCTTCAGTCCAAGAATCTTGCGAACAAGGTTTCCATTCCCAACTGAGTTCACCCCCGGGCCTGAGAACATGGTGAGCCGCTGCACGTAGGGAGGTCCACGATCGTAGCGCCATACTCCATCCTGCCCTTTCCCCCCAATGAGTTGGTCGTGCGACCAGTTTGGATACTCCAGCGCCAGATTGTGCGTGGCCTCTTCCAACCTTCTCTTCGCAAGCGCAACCTCTTCATCCGAGAACTTGTTGAGCTTGAAGCAAGCAGGCAGCTCCGACTGCTTCTCCATCATCGCATACTTCCTCAGCCTCTCCTTGGATGGTTCATTGAGCTCCCACTTCGGCTGCTCGACGTACACGACCTCCTTGGGCTGCTCAGGTGCCGCTCCCTCCTGCTGTGCCTCGTTCAACTGCGGACGGTCTTGACGCTTGAGACCATTCATCAGAGTCACTGCTTTTGTGAGCAAGGAGTTGATTCTGTCCATCTTGGACTGATCACCGACCTGCCCCTGGTTCTGTTGAATCATGTCATGCAGATAACCTTCGTCCCAGTTCTCTTCCTGTTGAACGAGCTGTGTGCGGGGAGCCTGAGTATCGATGCTCCTCTTCACCTGGAGGAGGACGAGAAGCGACATGGCAAAGAGCGCCATCGCCCCCTTGAGCACCACCCCCTCCCGCAGTGCCATGGCGCACGGCTCTTCAGACTCTCCGTTATGCACGCTACAATTTCTGTAACGATCACTTTTCGCAGTCGGACTCCCGGCCGCGCTGCCGGGCCAGCGCGGCCCGCCCGGCGGCCCGGCCCGGCCCGGTACGGTAAGTGAACTTCGGAACGCCGCCGCTAGTAAATCAGTGTGACTGAACTGGTCACGAATCAGGCAGCCTGGCGGGCAGTGTGGCGCCATCCCGCCGAGTCGGCAGTGACGCGGCAGCCGCCCGGCCGCTGACTCGGCTCTCCGGCGCTGAGGCCGCCGCCGGGCCCCCGGGAGTGCCACCGGCGTGGCCGCGTGACTCGTGACGGACGCCATGGTGATCGGACGCCGGGCCCGGGCACAGTGTACCCCCCGCGGTGGCCGCATACTATGATAATGTCACAGTCACTCGGATGGCAGACCTGCTCGGGCAGCGCCGCATTGCCACGGTCAGGCTTGAACAGCCGTCTCATGTGAGCGGTGAGGTCTTTCTTTACCGTCAAAGTCCAGGAAGTTCAAGTGAACAAACTAGTAGATGGTTTATAATGCAGGAATTTGCTTAAGTCACTAAAATTTCACATGCCCAAGGCTTCTTTCGTACGGTGGCCGAAAGCCCAGTACGTTTTCTGCGTCTGAGCCAGCGCCTGGTGAAACTTTCACTGCTCGGTACTTCTGCCGCTCGATTTGCCACGCCCGGAAGTTAGCACGCCTTACTCCCCTGTGCGGATAAGCTTATCGCCTTCATTGTAGAAAGTCCGATGTCTATGTCTCACAATCTGCGTATCGACAAGTTCTGGGTTACAGGAAAATCGAGACAAGAGGGCAGTGACATCACCCTGAGGGATGAAGGTGAAGCCCTCAGACCGTGAGATCGATGAGTTTCTGCTCTATGTTTCCCCATTTGTGACAGGATTTCACCCCCCTTATATCTCTTCTTGCTCACTTCTGCATGGCATCGTCAGCTCAAGGTATGCAAACATGCACCTGATGCTTCAATCACCTTCTTCACCTTCGCCCTGTTGCCCTTCGTTACCCTCAGCCTCGTCTTCTTGCGACTCCTCTGCCTTCACTGCAAGCCATGACTTCAGCGCCGACAATGTCATGGTGATATGACAAACCTTTCCACGGGTAAACTGGTTTTTGATCATCCTCTCGCTGCGTGTTGGGACCTCCAAGTCGAATCTGAAAGCAATCGTCACCACGGGTTGTTCACAACGATGAGGTAGACCATCACCTCGTCTCCGCTTCCTTCCATCCATTCCGGAGTTGGTGTAACAGCCAGCATGATGGCAAGAAGTATCAAGAGACCGCCAACGAAACCGTACGTGTAGAAGTTTTTCGAATCAAGCTTCATTTCTGTTCGGTCTAGCTATCTGTACACCTGAGAACGCAGAAGCTCAGGACAAACATTGCATTTACATGGATGATTATATTACAGGTTGGAATCCTCGCTGATCGGTGGGCAAATAGAAGTTAACCCTGTTTCACGAATCAACACGGCGAAGCGGGTTGTGCACACTAAGTTGTGAATACTATCTTATTTTGCACCATATCATGTTTTCAGAGAACGACCTAACGCATAATTATGACTTTGAGTTCATTGTTGTGCCTGATCTTGTATGACTCGATTCGGTGTTTGACTAAAACTCTTCACCAAAAGTTTCTTCTCAAGTACCAGGATGTCTAGAGGGTAGTCGACACGTTTCGTCATGGAAAGCATCAGGCGTGTTGCAAGTCTAAGGAGCAACATAATGACAAAAGTATCAAGAATCATGCAATGTTGCTCTTTTCCTTTGCTAATCGTGCTGCCATCGCTCCCTAACTCGCACTGCTGTTTCTGGCTACAACCCGCCGACATGTCTCGCCCCTTCGTGTTTCCGTTGCATTTGTAACGACACAGCGGTCAGTCATTGCCCACCCCTGCTATCACCATAGTTTTACATGGTCCTTTGATCCACCGGTGCTGTTGAAATACCCTGAAAAATTCAAACAAAAATACCAGGTAGGGGTCTATTCATTACCCCTTATTTTCAATATCAGTAAACGGGGTTACATTCCTATGACCGGTGATATCAATCACCCCATGTATTGAAGACAAAGATGGGGGTAGGGGGTGAAGGAGAAAAAAGGATCTGGGGAGCGCGTGCAGCCGACCTTAGAGCGCTGGCCATGAAGCACGTAGCGGCCTACATGCTGTGCGTCCTCGGCGGCAACGCCAACCCCTCTGCCGCCGACGTCAAGAAGGTTCTCCAGGCAGCAGAGGCCAACATCGATGATGGAGCCATTGACAAGATCGTCGAGTCTCTCGGGGGAAAGAGCGCTGAGGAGGTGGAGGCATTGATTAAGGATGGCAAGGGAAAGATGGGCAGTGTTGGCGGCGGCGGCGGCGGCGGCGGCGGCGGCGGCGGTGCTGCACCGGCGGCGGCAGCAGCTAGCGCAGGTAAATTGATATGTCTACAACAAGAAACGAGCTGTTGTGTGATGTTTATTTGACGATCTTGCTTGGTCTCTTTGCCTTGCCCTTCGGGATGTTGTAACTTTCTTTTTATTCGGCTGACTTGAAGGCATTTCAGGTGGTGGTGGAGGTGCTAAGAAGGCACCTGAGCCAGAGCCAGAGGAGGAGGAGGATATGGGCTTCTCACTTTTCGATTAAGGGTAACGATTTTATTGGTAACAATGAATTCCTCAAAACTCGAGCTGGATGACGGGAGGTTCAAGTTGGAGCGGAAACAGCCACCGGGGAGAGGACGGCATCAGGGATTCGCTTCTTGCAACAGACTGATGATTAACAGCTGGTTTTACTTTGAATCGAAAGAGGATGGGAACTCCTGGAAAGGAGCTTGCCTTGGAACGGCGATGGCAGGAAACGAGATGAGGACGGGACAACGCATCCTTCGCTTAGCTCTGAAACTGGCAGCAGTTGCGATACGGTCTTGGTATCAGTTGTGTAGAACATCGTGTAGCACGTGCGCAGGGAGTGGCTCCATTGACTGTAGGGCAGATGGCAGCGAGCCGATGGGATGTAAGACAGACATTTGGTTTGTGTGTGCCCTAAGGTTGTATCTGAGCAATCATCTTGTGGAGCAAACAGCGTGTAGATACGGAGAATGATTCTGAGAGGTGGGATTTATGTTCGATAGTTTACAAGATTAGCACATGAGGGCAGGAGACGAGGTTGGATCGCAAGGACCGCCGAGGAACCCGGTCACGGACGTGTAACCTGCTCCACAATCATATCGCTAAAACCATCGCCATCCACCCCGCTGACCATCCTCCTCCTTTCCTCTCTCCCTCACCTTCGTCGCCTGGCAGCACCCAGGGAGTTCCGTCCGCGTCTCGAGGGTAGTACCCTCCATACCCAGTCTCGTACGCTCCAGTGTCGAGATCGTGATAGAAGCTCTTGGGGTACGAGAACAATTGGACTGAAAAGCAAGTTGTCATCAGTACTCAACACCTCCACACAGTGCTGTCATGAAGACTTGTCGTTCTTACCGGGTCGTCCTGAGGCGAACCTGAAGAACATCATGGCGCGACAGCTGGCGTGAAGCCTGTTGCATCACTCAGATTGAAGTCATAAGATACTTATATGCTGCGGATCTTGTATCATGAGAGCGATTGTTGAATCTAGCCATGTTGATGACATTGCGAACATCCTTGTTAACGATCATGGTATGGCTAAATCTACAAAACTTCTATGTGATCTGAACCTTGTTTCCCATCTTCATCCAGAAGCATCCAAAATAAATGAAACAAGGAAGGGGGAAGGGACAACAACAATATCTTGTCAATTGTACCAGCAGAGCCTTTGCTGCTTCTGTGAAACAATGTGCACACTACTTTACAAGTACAGCAAGGGTACGTTTTCCCAAAACTCCTCTTCGCAGCTTTCATTCTATCCTTCTAGGTGCTTGGACAATGGCCGGTGTGCTCTGTTGAAACTCCACATCCTAGTTTTCACTTCCACGAACCATCAACGGAATCTCCCCTCCCCTCGACTGCTCTCCTCGGCGCCTCCTCCCCTGCCTCCTCCCCTGCCTCCTCCCCTGCCTCCTCCCCTGCCTCCTCCCCTGCCTCCTCCCCTGCCTCCTCCCCTGCCTCCTCCCCTGCCTCCTCCCCTCCTCTTCTGCCTTGCCTGCCCTTCCTCCTTCCATTCCTCTTTCTCTTCCTGAACAGTCCGCTCGCATCCTCACTGAAGAGACAAGCGCAAAACAGGGTGGGGGTGTAGCTACCCCAGAATACGGGTACTATTCTGGTAAAAAACGGGGGTTAGGTCAAACTTGAGTCTTGCAAAACAGGGGTAGTAGGAAAATGTCGGAGAGAGGAGACTAGATACCAAGAAGCAGGCAAGCGGGAGGGAGAGGAACGATGAGGTAGGAAGGAGAGGAGAGGAGAGGAGAGGAGAGAGGATAAGAAGAAAGGTACGACGAAGAACGGGTAGGGGAAGCTGAGGAAAGTGTTGGAGGATCTCAAGGAGGACAAGGGAACCAGCGAAGTCCCACTACATCTCGCCAACGGGAGGATGCCGCCCATGTCAGTCGGATCTCAGGGGAGCAGGTCCAATGCGGGCAGCAGGCCTGCTTCGCATGCTGAGCACAAGTCAGTGGCATCAGCATCGTCCGCGCGCAGCGCGAGCGAAACACAATCCCAGCTCATGCTGCAGGTAGGGATTGAGAACAAGTTCACCCATAGGGCTCACGACAAGCCTCGCCCGAGCATCTTGAACGCAGCTACCCTCTCCTCCCTCGTCGTTGATGACGAGCTCGAGACGCTGCCGATGGACGCCATCACCTCCTTCGGATTCAACAGCCAGGCTGACTACGAGGCTCGCCGGATGCCGACCGACGCCAGAGATCCCGAGTTCCTGGACAAAGTTTCCAACCTCGTCCTCAACAACGATCCCAGGGTCAGAGAGCTCAACCTGTCCAGTGCCGGGCTTCAAGACTCCCACATCCCCCACATCGCCGACGCCCTTGCCCTCAACACTACGCTGCGCACTGTGAACCTCTCAACCAACCTGCTGTCGGACCTGTCGGTCAAGGAGCTGGCTGCGGGGATCAAGGGCTGCCCCTCCATCCGCAAGTTGGACCTGGCTGAAAACTCGCTGGGATCTCGGGGGGCGGGTTACCTTTCAACCGTCTTGGACAGCAAGACCAGGTAAGTTAGAGGCGCCTGCTTTAGTTTCACCTCCCTCCCTCCTCCTCATCCCTCCTCCTCGCACCAGCGCCGTCCCCAACATCACCATGACCGCCAACTCCCTCCCACATCTTCTCTCCCTCTCCCTCTCCCTCTCCCTCTCCCTCTCCCTCTCCCTCTCTCTCTTCCTCTTCCTCTTCCTCTTCCTCTTCCTCTTCCTTTTCCGGGCCTCGTTCTCATTCTCCTTGCAGCCTTGTGGGGCTGGATATCTCGGTTAACCTCATTCGCGATGAGGGTGCGAATGCCATCATCGAGAGTTTGGTGCACACGCCCCATCAGCCCATCTCCTGGCTGAACTTGAGCGAGAACTCGCTGTCTGACTTCTCAGCCCCCAGCATCGCGAATCTGATCCGCATGTCAGCCAACCTGACGCACCTCGACATCTCAAGGAACGACTTTCAGAACGACGGGATCCGCGTCCTTGCCGACGAGCTGGCGCTGTGCTCCAACCTGAGGCACCTCAACATCAGCAACATCCAGCTGGTGAGAGATGAGACAAGTGGATGGTAGAGGAATGACACGTTGGACCAGGACTCGAATGTTGTGGAGCATTTCACCCTGAGCCTGGGACAGAACTCCTCGCTGCAGACGTTGGATATGTACGGGTGCATGATAGGGGATGTAGGGGGCACGAGCATGTGCAGAGCGCTGGCTACCAACACCACGTTGCTCAAGCTGGACCTTGGAGCCAACAGGATCTGTGCTCGAGGGTTTGAATTCATTGCTGATGGCATTCGGGTAAGATGCGATGTCGAAGATGATTGATGATGACTAAGACAAGGAAGAGGGAGGAAGGGGGCGGGAAGGATGGAGGGGAGTAGGGGAGAGGAGAGGAGAGGAGAGGAGAGGAGAGGAGAGGAGAGGGGGGATTGACAACGACGAGAGCACTGGTGATGATGACAACGTGCGGCTGAAGTCTAGGCAGATGAACACGACGTTGAAGGTCTTGAAGCTCTGGGGGAACAAGTTCCAAGGGGAATGCGAGAGATTGATATCCGCCCTCTTCCTCAACGACACGCTCATCGGTACCCTCCCATCCTCCCTCCAACTTCTCCTGCATCCCTTGACCACGATGATGCTCGCAGAAGTGGAGCTGACGGGCTGTGAGCTCAACCCCGATCAGATCCGGACGGCAGAGGACCTGGTTCGTAAGAACAGGAACGCGGATCTTGTCAAGGGCCAGGGCCAGGTGGACATTTGGAAAGCTTTGAGGCAGCGGGACGCCTTGCTGGAGGAGAACCGCCAGCTGAAGGAGCAGGTGGCGAAGCTCTCCAAGAAGCCAAAATCTTCTTTCCCCATGTTCACAACCAGCCAGCCCGAGGAGAAGGTGGTGGAGGAGGAGCCGGAGCCCTGGTGGAGCCTGAAGTCCCTTGGGCATCTGCCCCCTTGGTTGAACTCACAGACCAACGAGCTTCCGGAGACATTAACGGAAGGCAAGTGACGGGCCCCGTGGCCCTCCCCTCCTTTATCCGATCTGTCTCGTGATGGCTAATGAATGCTGGCGGCCGCATGACATGGCGACGATCTGCCGATAGCCCTGTGTCAGTTCCTCGAGGCTCGAGCACAAACCCTCTCACCTCTTCTGGAATCTTCTTGATCCTCACTGGGTTCGCTATGAAGCTCGGCCCCTTGCGGGTGTCCTTACCCACACCACACTGCCCTCTGACATTATCTGGAGATGGGGAGAACCGAAAGTCAGTAAGAGAGGGTGGAGGCAGCGGTCGAATCTTGCTGACAGCTACGGCTGGAGGGGAGAAAGGGGAGGAGGGGGGCAAACGAGAAGAGTTGAGGGGGGGAGGGGGGGACGGCAGATTTGCGGCAGCACAGCAGGACAGGAGATCGAACCCACCTCCCCACGTAAACAGATGTCCTTCCTCTGATAGGACGAGCACATTGCCCTCCTTCCCTGCAGCGATTGCAACCGAACGGGCAGGAATCCCTTCAACCCTGGTGGGCACCCTGGGGGAGAAGTGAGGAAGAGGAGCGGGCAAGTACAAACTAGAGCACGTCGTGGTGTTGAGGCCGTTGCGTCCCCACCAGAGGACGGAGCCGTCCTCCATGAGCGAGACTGAGAACGACTCTCCTGCAGCCGCGTGGCGAACGCCGCTAGCAAACACGCGGACCTGGCAAGGGGACCAGCGTCAACCTTGAAAGGACGGAAGAAAGAGGTAGTTTCACCGCCTCCTTGCGAGCTACTTGACAACCGTCACCCAACTGACCCTCGTCGTTGCACCCCCAGGCAAACAGAGCTCCGTCCTTCATGACCGCTAGACAGTGCTGCCCTCCTACCGCAAACCCCTTGACGGAGCCCGACACTCCCCGCACGTGCTCAGGGTCGCGGAAGATCTGCTCCTCCCATGGCAAGCTCCCCCATTGAAAGATCCTCCCCTCAGTCGTAGCCTTTCAGCACTCGCGTCAGGACTGAGGCAGTGACGGGGGAGTCAAAGAGGTAGAGGTCACCGCAAGTGAGAATGTAGACCCTGCGGCGATGGTGACGACGGGCTGATCATTGAATCCTTGTTGAGACATCATGACCTATGATAAAGTCATTCCTTCCAGCATCGAGTGTCGAGTCGAGGTCACCGGCCTTGTGACCGAGTTTGATGCTGACGCCTTTCGCCATGCCGTTCTTCTTTGTCGAAGAGGAGTCTGCAAGTGCAAAATTCGAAGGAGGGTTGTACAGACAGAACATGTCAGACGCGATGTGAGGAAAGTTTTCGAACGATCCGATCACCTTGATGTCGGTGCTCTTGATCTTCTCATTCAATTCAGTATAATTTGTTTCTTCCATCAAAAACTGGATGAGGATTGCTCGGCGTTCTGGCGCGATGTCTTCGCAACTGGAAATGGAAATCATTCCACCACTTGCCAATCACAAGCAACACAACACATCTCAACACTATCTCCATCATCTATCTCCATCATCTCCACCATATCCGCACATACCCGGTCGCCTTCAAAATAGCATCGACATCCTTCTCAGCAGACATCGAACAATCCTGCACGTTCAGCGCTGGCCCAAGTTGAGCTGTGGCATTGGAGCCCCAACACATGACGCTCCCATCCTCGAGCAGCGCCATGGAATGCGTGCTGCCTGCCGCCAGCTCGACAGCTGCCCCATCAAAATCTGCAATCCTGACAGCCTCCCTCCGAGTCTCGAAAGTTCCATCCCCCAGCTGACCGTGAGAGTTCAACCCGCAAGCTATCCCGCTCCCGTCGTCCATCAAAAACAGCGAGTGCGCCTCGCCCGCTGCTATGGCCCTGACCCCGCCATCAGGGATGAACACTTGCTGTGTCGGGGTCCATCTGAGAGCATGTGAGTCCCCGTAACCAACCACCCCCTCAACAAGCACCGCCTGCGCATGAGCTCACCGGTCTATCTTGCATCCATTCGCTATCCCAAGTTGGCCGTCGTAGTTTGCACCCCATCCCCATATGATGCCGTCTCTCGGGTCTCTGGCTCTTCTGTATATCTTCAGGGGCTTCCCCATGTAAGTTTGAGACACTTGAATCACGCCAAACTTCTTGCTCCCCATGTACGTCAGTGGCACGATGCCTTTCGGGGGCAACTCCTCTCCGGTTGACTTGGCCCACTTGAATATCCTTCTGTGGTTTTCTTTTGCCTCTACCGAGCTGACAGACTCGAACGAAGGATCATCGTAGGTGCTGATGGGCTTCGCATAGAACTTCCTCTCATCCATCACTGGATCTGAATCATCTTGCATGGTATCATCCAACTTCGTGACATTGTCCTCCCTCAAGGCAAGCTGAGCTGATATGTGGTCGGACCCACGTTTCAGATGCGGGAAAGTATGTTTGTTCAGCCGTCCCCTCACCCCTTCCTTCGATCGTCCCAGGTGCCTGGCTTTGCTCCTGCCCTTCCCTCCCCCTCGCAGCAGCATGGCGTCTGTTCCACAGCTCGGAGACCTCAGCTGCAAGTCCTTTAACCTGGCCAGCAGAGGAGCGACGTCTCCTGTACATGTTGACCTTTCATAGCTCCGTTCCCTCATGTCGCTCGACAGGCTCCCGCCAACGAGCAGCAGCAATGCCACCATAGTTACGTCCGCTGCCATGTCAAAGCAATCCGAACTGAGACCCGCCTCAGGCAGCCACCCGGGGCCGCCTCTAATGGGTCCGGCGGCGCCGCGCCGCGGCGCCGAGTCAGTCGGCCGATAAACTTCCCGGCGGTGTGGGGTCAACTTGTGATGCGGCCCGTCACCGCGGCCGGGCACCCCGCGGCCGCCGGCGGGCCCGGTCACGGTAAAAATTGAACTCAGAGAACTCAGAGAGCAACCGTCCTATGTGTCTCAGGGCCTGACTCAGTGAGTCGACTCTCCTAATTGTCCTCAGACTCGTACTGATCCGAGTTTTAGTATAACAGTTTGAGTGATAGTAAAGAGAGACCTACTAACTTAACTTTGAGTAAAGATGATGAGCTCATTGAAACTTGATTGCCGCGCCGGGACTCAGGCCTGAGTGTCACACGGCCCGGGCCCGGCCCCTGCCGCGCCCGGCCCGAGTCACGGCCCGGGGCCCGGGGGTCACTGCCAGCCTGAGCGCGGCCGGGCTGGCCCCCTGAGCGTTGAACCGGTGACTGCCGCTTACTGTCACAGTGTGGCCCCGAGGCGCCGAGTCACGAGGCCGTGGCACCGTGCGGCCTGTTCAACAGCACTCAGCCTCCGGGAGTCCGAGCGGCTGCCTCCCGACCGCGGGGTATCATTCAGCTTAAACCGGTTTTAGCTTATAATTGTCACTCGCCGCCGCTTGTTTCCGAAGTTCGTACGGTCAAGGCCGGGCCCGGGTCAAGTTTTTGTTTTGCCAGTACCTGAAATCAAGCGATTTCAAGTTCCCTGCGGATGTTAATTAACTTACGGCCACCCGGGCCCTCATGGTTCTCATCCGATGACCACCCCCTCTAGGTTGACTACCCCTGCTTTATAGCATATCAACCCCCTCCGCACACCAAGAGTCAATCCAAGCACTGCTACCCCGGAGTCCCACTCCCGGAGTCCACCCCCGCCACTCGAGTCCAGTGACTCCTTGAGCCGGGTGGGGGGGGGGGGTCCCCAGTCCTCTATGGTACCACAATGATCCTCTGACAGGGGGTCCTTCTGACTAGTACAGAAATACCGTTCCTGTTCCCTACGTACCCCCATAGCTACAAATCAACTTCCGGATCGAACCTTTGAAATTACGACTGTCTGTTGCCCTTCGCCCTGCCCTTTGCCCCTCTCCCCTCCTCTCCCCCCCCTCTCACCTCTCCTCCATTGCCCTTTCCATCCTCCCTCCTCCTCTTTTGAATCCTCCTCACATTCCTGTCTATATTTTCGCTCTTCTCTTCGCGAGGACTTTGTCTTCCAGTGGGCTGGCAACGCTGCACATAAAATTCTTTGCAGCGGTCCCTTTGAGCCCGATCTGTATTCCTTGAGTCCTCCTCTGTTGGCCACTGATCAGCCACAACGTGATACATCTTTGCTCCCCCTATCCACGCCTTCGCATCCATGAAACGCCTCCTCTTCGGATCCGAAAAGGCTCTGCCTAGTCTTGCGGTACCTCCTATCAGAAAGAACGACCACGACGACGATGCGATGTCGTACGATACGGTGTCGGGAGACTTGACCTACTCCAGCGACGGGGAGGGGCAGGCAGCGTCAGGAAGCTTCTTGTTCAGCGTCGTCGTGTTGGACGGGAAACGCTTTCCGGCGGGCCGCTCGGGAAGAATCAAACCCAGAGTCCACCTCCAGTTCTCCTGCCCGGGATACTTCTCGCAGATCGCTGCGACCACCTCACAGTCAACGACGTGGCCGGTCTGGAGAGAGGGCTTCATCTTCTCGACCCCTGCAGAGAACATCAAGGACATCAGCATCATGCGGCATGCCATGGTGAGTGTATTGAGGTCTAGGAGGGCTGGAGTGTCTTGACGGGGCGTGCTTGCGAGCAGGTGATGGTTCTGATCGAGGACGAGCTATCCAACCGGCTGCTGGGCCAGTCGTGGGTGTCTTTGGAGGAGGTAGTCTCGCAGAGAAAGATCGACAAGGAGTATCATTTTTGTCCGACCATGGAGGCGAACCCCAGTCTGAGGCTTGTTCTGACTGCCATCGACGAGTCGTGCGTGCATCCGTCGGTGAGTCAGTACGGGAAGCCGATCCGGAGTCTGCGATCGAAGCTCGGTAGGGTCATGTAGAGGAGATGGGATGATAGTTTTGTGACATCAAGGCAGGTGCGGTCTTTCATCCAACCAGGACAACAAGGTCTGGTGCTGCCGATGAGATGAACCAAGTGGACTGCAAGGGGACTGTGAGTCTATTGAAGATCATCGATTGCGGGACGTATGCAGATGAGGACGACTAGGCATGAAGATTGCTTGCCAGGCACAAGCTAGAAGTCGTTGGCAAGTGTGAATCGTGAAGCATTTGGGAGTGCCTACAAGTACGGCGAGTTTTTGTTTGATTCACGTGTGTCTGCACCAAATCAATATCTGTGCAAATATGACCCCAGAATGAAACGATCTAATCAGCTGACTTTGATTCTTCCTTGTTTGTGCTTAGTTACAGCACTTTCACAGTCCCTTTCCCACCAGCATTATTCAGGACTTTAAGACCGACCTTCCAATCAACTTCAATATTTTCCCAATGCCAGTAGAAGGAAGAACAATCTCACAGCCTCCTTTTACACGTTTCTCCTCGCTCCACCCAACATGCCTTCCACTGCACATTCCCTTTCATTGCAATACCGCAACATCATGCCTCTTCTCCTATTTTGAGACACGTGACCTAAACCGCTGGTTATCCAACGCTCAAGGCATCTGGCTAAGCTCCAGCCAACAACCTTAGACTTGCAGGCTTTGCTTGGTTCACAACAACTCGATGAGACGCAGACCCTGACTCGTGAACTTCCCGCGTTTGGAGGAACTTCGGATGCTTGTCAGAACCTAGTTCTGAAGATATTCAGCACAGCATCCATCCCCGCAATACGAGGTGACCGAGAGGGCAATGATTTCAAGAAGAGAATGGCGGTGGATGATGGACTGCATTCTCTGGCCGAAGGACAAGGAGTAAGTCATGGAAAATGTGAATTCGTACCAATCCGTTCAGAATGGGCAGGGAGTGCTACGTGCTAGCAGAGAATAGAGGCAGGAGAAGGCGATTTCGAGTGGCCCGCCGGAGGTGGAACTGGATTGACAGGATTTGCCGAGAACGGGGGGTACTTCGACAAGGGGAAGAGATTGTACCACGGAACTTGATGCAATGTTACAGGACAAGATTGCATGGGTGGACCTTGGGGTGCGCAAACAGTTTTGTTCATATTCGAATATTACTTGGTACCAGAACCTGGGAATCATATTGAGAAGAAATCGGAGCCAAGAGGGAGGTGCACCCATGTCTGAAGAGATTGAAGACCCACAGACTGATAGCGCTGTGACTGATAGCACAGGGAACTGCGCGGCGATGTCAATGGTAAAAGAAACGTCACACTGAGGAATTGGGGTGTAGCACTTTGGTATGAATGATGAGATGACAAATAAGACACAGACAACATAAGTTGGGGTAGATAGAAAGGTAAGAGGGAGCCCTGGACAAGACACGACTAATAATCGTAAGCAGATGAAGTCATCAGGAGGGGAGGTGAGAGATGATACAAGAGGAGAAAAGGGAGTGGAAGGAGGGATACTGAGCGAGGAGCCAGGCACCTTTGCCGCAGTGCATGCATTGTTGGCGAGATCGTTTGAAACGTTTTCAGGGTTCGAGACGGACTGATGTGTCAGGAGTGTACTCAGTTTGACTAGGAGCGGGTTTTGCCCCTGGGGAGCGACGGACACCTTCACGGAATTTGGAACAATTAAAAGGAGCAAAGAGGCTTCGACCGCCGAGGGGTCGCAATAAAATGAGTAATTGAAAGATATCAGTAAAGAGCGACCCCCCCCCCCTACACCACCACCAAAGTTTCGAAAACGTACTACCCCACCCTAGAAAATACCTGATTGTGGGTGCAACCCCGCTCTTTCTGACCCATCCATCCCAATTACCCCTCCATCCCGCCACCAACCATTCGAAGGCCTCCTCGTCTGTACTCCTCCACTCTACCTCCTTACTCTACCTTCTTGCTCTCGTCCACTCCCCCCGATATACTGAGCCATCCTCCTTGACGACAACATGTATTTCATTCGAAGAACTTTCTCGTGCATTTAGTTCCGTGAACAATCTGATTGTCATTGATCCACATAAAGTTCTTTCCAGCGGTCCTGCTGCAAAATACGTGACCTCCTAGACTCCACAACTTTGCTCCCCCTATCCACGCCTTCGCATCCATGAAACGCCTCCTCTTCGGATCCGAAAAGGCTCTGCCTAGTCTTGCGGTGCCTCCTATCAGAAAGAACGACCACGACGACGATGCGATGTCGTACGATACGGTGTCGGGAGACTTGACCTACTCCAGCGACGGGGAGGGGCAGGCAGCGTCAGGAAGCTTCTTGTTCAGCGTCGTCGTGTTGGACGGGAAACGCTTTCCGGCGGGCCGCTCGGGAAGAATCAAACCCAGAGTCCACCTCCAGTTCTCCTGCCCGGGATACTTCTCGCAGATCGCTGCGACCACCTCACAGTCAACGACGTGGCCGGTCTGGAGAGAGGGCTTCATCTTCGCGACCCCTGCAGAGAACATCAAGGACATCAGCATCATGCGGCATGCCATGGTGAGTGTATTGAGGTCTAGGAGGGCTGGAGTGTCTTGACGGGGCGTGCTTGCGAGCAGGTGATGGTTCTGATCGAGGACGAGCTATCCAACCGGCTGCTGGGCCAGTCGTGGGTGTCTTTGGAGGAGGTAGTCTCGCAGAGAAAGATCGACAAGGAGTATCATTTTTGTCCGACCATGGAGGCGAACCCCAGTCTGAGGCTTGTTCTGACTGCCATCGACGAGTCGTGCGTGCATCCGTCGGTGAGTCAGTACGGGAAGCCGATCCGGAGTCTGCGATCGAAGCTCGGTAGGGTCATGTAGAGGAGATGGGATGATAGTTTTGTGATATCAAGGCAGGTGCGGTCTTTCATCCAACCAGGACAAGGCTGGTGGCAGACCTTGCAGATGAGATGAACCAAGTGGACTGCAAGGGGACTGTGAGTCTATTGAAGATCATCGATTGCGGGACGTATGCAGATGAGGACGACTAGGCATGAAGATTGCCCGCAGGCACAAGCTAGAAGTCGTTGGCAAGTGTGAATCGTGAAGCATTTGGGAGTGCCTACAAGTACGGCGAGTTTTTGTTTGATTCACGTGTGTCTGCACCAAATCAATATCTGTGCAAATATCAACCCAGAATACAAACATCCAAGTTGTTGTCCATGTCTTTCTAATGGCAAAGATGGACTCCGATCTTTTGACTCCTTTATCATGTGAAGTCAACAGGATACCACAGTTATACACCCAGCTTGCCGTCATCGCTAAGTTGATAACATTGCTCATTGTTTGATAGATATTTTTAATCTCGATCTTTTCATCGAGGTTCGCGGGTTTTCTTCCCTCTCATATCTCTTCACCACGGATCCCGGTTGAACTTCTCCTTCGCGTCTGGTACGATCAGAGCTGATCTTCACTTATCTCCTTTGTTATGACATCATCAACAAACCTTCCTTGCAACATCCCCCAATTCTTCTTGTTTTCGGAGTTCATACAAGCTTTGTTTTCTTCACCCTAGTCTTTGCCACTTTTTGCTATACCGTGCATTGAATCGGAACTTCGGAAGTCTAGAGTCCTGATTGGTGATTCGTTGGGAGCGTATCAGGCATCACTATATGCTTCACTGCTCGTCCAGAAGCTGATCGCCATTGCAATCATAGCTTCGGTTTCTGATTCCGATCACACTTTGTAGCATTTTTTTCCACCAGCAAGTTGAGGTGTGAGGCTTGCAGCCATGGATGCGACTCGGTGCGCATGCATGCTACGATGCATGTCCCTGTCCCTTCACCTTCCCAACATGATTACCTTCATTTGACTCCCAAGGCGTGTCGGGCAAATCGCTACCCCACCCCCTTTTGTCCCTCTGTTAGAGAGGGATCATCACCCCTGGGTCAAGGACACCCCCTGAGTTCCACTACCCGCCCCCCCGCCCCCGCCGCCGCCCCCCCCCTCCCCCACCACCACTAACCCCCCCATTCCCCGACTGAAGACGAGCGTCGAAGGGGTACTCCGACCCTAAAAAAAATATTGAAAACAAGTGATTTCAGTGTCCTAGGCGATTGCTGAAGGGGAACGCCCCTGTGTTCCCCTTCAGCCACCACCATACCAACTGAGGGGCCGTCCCAGGCCTGTTTGACCACCAGCCTCGTCGGCTTCTACCCCCTCCGTTGACCGTCACACCCACCCTAGAATCTTCACCACTTCATAGAGGGTCGCAATCTTGTAGCGATTTGAGAACAGCAGTGGAAGTAGTCAAATTGCCACAAAATGAGATCGTGGTGGGTGGGGTGGTTCGGGTGAGGAATCTTCCATATCATATCAAAACCACGTCTTTTCGACTCCCTCTTGTATTTCTGCTCCCTTGACCCCCCTTGCACCTTCTACTTATCTTCGGTAACCCTACCCCTTCATCAACACGCGCAAATTATCGTCATCACCCCTACTTATCCAAGCAGTACCCCCTATCTCCCTATGCACACACACACATACCATGTAATCAAAACAACCTCTACCCCCTGTCGCCCAACCCGTACACCACTGCTTTTACGTACTACCACCTACCCTGATCAACCAGGTACAATAGTTTTTCAAGTACCCTACCCCCACCCTCGTGTGGGGGAACAACAGCTCCAACATTGCGCCTACCGGCCCTACCTGCCCTCGCCTCTTCTCCCTCTTCTCTTGCTATCAAAAGTGCAGCCCACCCCAGTCATGTCCCTCTACCAATCTATGTGGACCCCACCCCTTCGAGAAAATCATACTCCCATGGTACCGGTGGCTACCCTCAGGGATTACCTTGCAGACAGTCCCATCTTCCCCACCCCTTTGCAATGTTCCCCATGTATTCAACCGCCCCCAGAGTTTCAAAAACGTACTACCCCACCCTCCTAAACATGCCATTATCAAAGAGGTACCCCGCATTCCTCACAATTGTACCCACCCCATTTCACCATTCTTGCTGTACAAAGGTGTCGCAACGCTGGGAAGTCACAAAGTACCCCGACCCCAATGCTTTCAAAGTAGTACCCACCCCTTCCTGCTCACGGGTGAAAAACCATCCGGTCAACTTCAGACCATGACCTCACCACAACCCCCTCCCGCCCCCCACTCTTAACACATCAGTCCCCACCTCCCTTTCTCCGCCCCTCCCCCCAGCATCGACTATTCCTCCTTTTCTGTACTCCTCTCATCTACCTCCTTCCTCGACCTCCCTGTTGTCCCTCACCCCCCTCCCCTTGCCCATATACATCTATCCGATCTGTCAGATCCTCCTTGAGGAGAACAGAGATATTCTTTTGAAGAACGTTCTCCTGCAATTGGTTCCGTACAGCATCTGGATCTGACCACTCCACACAAAGTCCTTTCAGTGGGACCTACTGCCTTCGCGTCTTGATTCTTGGTGTCCCCCTCCGTTGGCCACTGATCAGCCACAACGTGATACATCTTTGCTCCCCCTATCCACGCCTTCGCATCCATGAAACGCCTCCTCTTCGGCTCCGAAAAGGCTCTGCCTAGTCTTGCGGTACCTCCAATGAAAAAGTTTTCCCCTTTGAATGATCTTGACCACGACGACGATGCGATGTCGTACGATACGGTGTCGGGAGACTTGACCTACTCCAGCGACGGGGAGGGGCAGGCAGCGTCAGGAAGCTTCTTGTTCAGCGTCGTGGTGTTGGACGGGAAACGCTTTCCGGCGGGCCGCTCGGGAAGAATCAAACCCAGAGTCCACCTCCAGTTCTCCTGCCCGGGATACTTCTCGCAGATCGCTGCGACCACCTCACAGTCAACAACATGGCCGGTCTGGAGAGAGGGCTTCATCTTCTCGACCCCTGCAGAGAACATCAAGGACATCAGCATCATGCGGCATGCCATGGTGAGTGTATTGAGGTCTAGGAGGGCTGGAGTGTCTTGACGGGGCGTGCTTGCGAGCAGGTGATGGTTCTGATCGAGGACGAGCTATCCAACCGGCTGCTGGGCCAGTCGTGGGTGTCTTTGGAGGAGGTAGTCTCGCAGAGAAAGATCGACAAGGAGTATCATTTTTGTCCGACCATGGAGGCGAACCCCAGTCTGAGGCTTGTTCTGACTGCCATCGACGAGTCGTGCGTGCATCCGTCGGTGAGTCAGTACGGGAAGCCGATCCGGAGTCTGCGATCGAAGCTCGGTAGGGTCATGTAGAGGAGATGGGATGATAGTTTTGTGACATCAAGGCAGGTGCGGTCTTTCATCCAACAAGGCTTGCGAATCTCTCTGATGAGATGAAACAATTTTCGAAGGGGACTGTGAGTCTATTGAAGATCATCGATTGCGGGACGTATGCGGATGAGAACGACTAGACATTTAGCTGTCCATCATATAGGTCACATATTGTAAAATAAACAAGACAGATGTTCATTGCTCTATCTGATGTATGTGCGCTATGGCTTGCATTCTGGACTGTGTTTGCGAACGTTGAGTCTGTTCATGAATCGCTACCGTCACGTCTGGGGGATGGCAAGTGTCCCTTGTTGGCTGATTGCGCAGAGGAGAGATTTTTTTTTCGTCCTTCAAACGAGATAATCTTAGATGATCTTCGATCATGAATTCCATTGAAGGTTTCATTCACTTGCCTTCATTCGAGTTTCATGGTACTAGGAGGGCCAAGTGAGTTTTCCTGCTATTTCACCGATTCTTGGTTGTTTGATTTCATTTGCTTCTTCCTCATCTTCTGTCCACCTTGACAGTCAAGAAGCAATCACGTTCCCTTGTGTCTGGTTTTTGCATGTTTCCCATTCTTGTCATGAAACCCCCAGCACATTGGTCAAAGCAAAACTTTCAAGTCAACAAAGCTCAGCTTAAGAAATTCACCACTCATCGATCCACAGTTCTTCGTTTTAATCCATCAGAACTCTAGGATAAGATGGAACATCGCTCGAGCAAAGTCCGTCTGCCCAGCAATCTTTTTCCTCTCCCGACAACCTTCCATTCGGGCCAAATATTCCGCTCACCTTCAACACAAGGTTAGGCAGGATTTTATAACATGCACACAGATGCTACCTGGCACGCTCTCTGCTGACATCCTGAAAAGTTTGAATCCACTGGACTCTTCACCCCTTGCTCAGGACGTCTATGATGTTGTCAGCAAAGGACAGACATAGTAGTGAGAGAAAACCAACCTGAGAGATCCTGGCGGGGCCCACTCCCCGTACCTCATACCACCAGCCAAATACTGAAAAGAATGGAGCAGAGCAAACATCCGTGTATTTTTTCTTCTTGCTTATGATCAGGCCCTTCCCTCGTGCTCTCCGGACAGTATCAACCAAATAGGACTGGAAACAGGAACCATGTCAAGGGAGGGAAGAGTTTTACCAAACCAAGGCGATCAAAACGTTGAGACTTTAGTTAGGGTCAACGAGTCTAAACAAGAATCCCATTCATACTATTCACACTGCCCCCTGAACCTGTTGCCCTCTGCCATCGTTCGCGCTTGATGAATCAAATACCTGCTGCCATGGCTCCAGCCGCAAATAGGATGTTCGTCTAGAAGGTTTAGTGAGTTCCGACCGAAAGTTGAAGAGAAACTGATGGCCCGGCCGGCCCGGGGGCGGGGGCCGCGCCGCCAGCCTCCGGCCGCCGCCCGGCGATCCGATGATCCGGGAGTCCGATCCGGGACAGGGGCCGCCGTTTGGCCTGTGCGACTTTACTCAAAGTTAAGTTAAAAATCAGTACGACAGTTGTCTGGGTCAGGGCCTCCTCGACTCTCCTGATTGTCCTCACTGATTTTTAACTTAACTTTGAGTACAGACCGTACACTGTACAGGATGGATGAGAAGAAAAAAAAAAGATGAGCCGGTACAGACTACATCCGACTCAGTCCCCCGAGCCCGGCCGGGCCTGTTACCGTGAGTGGGCCGGGCCCCCGGGAGAAGCATGACCGAGCGGCGACTCAGGACTCGGCGGGAGTGCCACTCGGAGGGCCAACCGTGCTTGAAATCTATTTTTGGGACCGTACCGTCCGACCTCCGGGACCGTCCTGTCCTGTCCTGTCAATTTCCTGCACACCGGTCACCCCGCGCGGCGGCTAGTGCCACCCCCGCCACCTCAGTACCTTCTGCATCCGGGTTTCACTCGTGATGACCCGTACCCCCCCCACGTGACCGTGACAACTTGGCCCTGGTACCAGTAGGGAGCTCTTGTTTCCATATCAAGGACTATTCGTCAGGCTCTTTAGGTTCTCGTAGAGGCTCGCCCGGACCTTTCTGTGTGGGGAAAGGGGTAGGTGGTCCATGGGGTACGAGGGTGGTGGAGAGTTCTTGCTACACTACCCCCTGTCTTCCCGTGCGATTGTAGGGGTCCCTCTCTTTTCTAAATCGGGCAGCGGACCTACGCATCTTCCCGATTAGCTGTCTGCATCTATTGGCATGCCCGTCTGAATCTCCATTAGCGCCCTGTGTTTGCTCCCTCCCTCCTCCTCCTCCTTCTATAGCTCGCTTTCTTAGCTTCTAGTTCTTCCAGCTACTCTTTCAATCACTATGTGCATCTTTTTCCTTGCGTCCCCAAGTAATCCGCTCACTTGATTGTTTCCATCATTGGTTCTTATTCTTTTGTTTCAAAGCTTGCAGCAATGGTAACCAGTGCTTTCTTGCATCATCTTGATATATCGCTCTGGTTTCTTGTGACATCATAACAACTTGCTTCTCTGTCATGTGACGAAATCTCAGTGGTTAATGGTATTGAGCTTGATATTTCCCTTTAGAGTGCTTCTACACGATTATCCACAAATGCAATGATAGATTTGAGGAGAAGAACATGCCTTTTCTGTTTTGAGTTTGATTTGTAACACATGATGCAGAATGTTCTCCACTATCCGAAGCTTCGTTTCCCTCGATGCTACCCCCTACGACGAAGACACCCACACTGGAAACGTCTTTGCTGACTTCCAGAGCTCTGCCGCCATGGAATGGCCTTCCTACACCGGCAAGTTTGACGTGAAGGTAAGAGTGAATGAATGAGTGCATGCGATTCGTGCTAACTTATTTGCTAGTACGATCCTTTCGGTGACGGCCCCACTGCCAACGCCTGGGCTGATGGATTCTCCACCAACTCCACGAACCCCATCCAGAAGATGAATGGATTCTAAGCGACAGATCGGTTATATCAAGAATTGAGTATTGTTCATTCTGCAAGATTAAACAATTTATCTTTGAATGCTTCTTATTTACATTGGGGGCACAATCATGATGTCCTTGCTGTATGCAGTGACGGTACGATACTTGTCCGTGATCTGCGAAATCCCTGTAACGAGTAGCTAAACTTCGTCATTCACATCACATTCACCTTCAAGCGGTATCGTCCAACACTCAAGCTGTTACTCACTGTCCAGGAAACTGTTCCTGAGTTATCCTATCCCAAAGTGAGAAGAGAAAAACATTCAGCCCGCAAACCAGAGATTGTTCAATCATCTGAACAAAAGAATCTGACATCGACTCCAACGAGAGCTGTCTTGATTTCATATATTGGAAACCGCAGAAGGAGGACATCGCACCTCCATTTCTGTTGCAACCCCCAGGGAATCCCATTGAATGATTTGCTTACTCTTCATTTGCCAGATGGCATCTGCATAACTTTACATCGAATAGATGTGCGAGTACAGTAGACCTTGGTTGGGATTCAGAAAAAGCAAGTTGTCCCGGATGGTGATGGGGTAGCTCGAACACTCGAGAGGTTTACCAACCTGCGAATGAAACATGTCAGCAAAGCTTCTAAGCCCCACGAAACTTCTGCAGACCTCACGCACACGAAGTTGGTATCGTCCTTGCTCGACATCTACAGGGACTGTCCACAAATATTCTCCATGATCCGGCAACCCAAAGGCAATCTCCTTCCAGAAGCCAAATCTACGACCTCACGTATCAGAGCAAAGCAGTTGGCTTGGCTGTTTCAGAGTCTGGTAACCTCGAAGCGAATTCCAACACATGTCCCATGACAGGTGTCCTGGAGAAATGATCATTTTGAGAATCTCCCGATGAGTTTACTTCTTCTCTGACTTGGCAGCTGAGCCTGGATTACTCCTTGACTGCAAAGAAAGGAGTCATCAGGTGCAGCCTCATCTCAGCTGGACCTTGTCTATGTTGGCGAGCTCCTGCTCGAGTGTCCATCGCCTCAGCTCCTCCTGTGCAACTCTGACGCCAGGATCAGATCAGTGCCGACAAGGCCTTTCAACCCGTCACTTGGAGTCGGTGGATTTGTTTTTTAGCGCCATCGCCTGCCCGTCACTTGGTCAGGCCTTGCTGAGTCGCGTCAGTCGCATCCATCACCGCATTGCAAGTCGAGTGAAGCAAGACGGCCTGACTGATCCCCACAGATTCCTGACGAGTGCAGAGCATCAAAGGATCCAAGTGTCCAAACATACCCATCTTCACATGATCATCTAGGTGCGTCTGCCCCTGCGCTTCCTTGTCCTGCGAGCTTTCTTGGTTGACCTCAGTCAGGCCCTCGGGCACACCTGCGGCTGTATTTGTATTCTTGAGCTCGCACTCTACTTGCAAACTCGACTTCACCTTTCGCTGGCATTTGAGCAACAGCTTCAAGGAGGGTCTGATCCATAGCAGAGTCACTCTCATCGCTCTCTGCAGATCCTGGGAAATCACTCAGGGGGATACGGAGGAGGATAAGGATAACGATGACGATGACGATGACGATGATGATGATGATGATGATGATGATGATGATGATGATGATGATGATGATGAGGAGGAGGAGGAGGAGGAGGAGGAGGACGCATCGCAGCACCACTTGGCGGCGCCAGGTCCTTTTCCTTGAGGATCGGATCGTTCTTCCCATCATACGCATCTTGCCAATATCATTAGGACCGCCTGACCCCATGCAAGAGCACCTTTGAGTAGGGAGGTCGGTTCATGGAGATCATCCCCGCTGCAAGGGGGGGTCAGGACGGAGGCGCAACGGAAACGGGTATGTGGTACCTGTCTTCCTCCTCTGACAAAAGAACGACCTCCCCAGCATCGTCTCCTGGTTTCCTTCCGTGCACGAGCGTCACTCTGATCAGCCCCAGCCTTTTCCTCTCACCTTGTCCTCCATTGGATAGCATATGAGCTGCCGCGGCAGAAGCAACCGCTGCCCATCCCAACTCATCAACAGGGTAGAGGAGGAAGAGGAGTCAGAGAAACCTTGGGGTATGGCCCACCGACATGACGATCTTGGGGGCCGAGCTCTTGACCAGGAAGTAGGCAGAAGTTGAATCCACTATCCCATTGGCTCCCTACGGCCCTCGAGTCAACCGTAACGACAGTCAAGGAAGATGCGACGAGGGTTGGGGAGGGGGTGGGTTGGGGTTGGGTGGTTGGCGAAGGGAGAAGCAGAGGGGGAAGAGGGGCATACAGACCGTCACACGTAAGCAGTACCATCCATTTGGCGTGTTTGCCGGGAGCTTGAGCGTAACCTGCATGTCAAGACAAGTTACTGTTGACTTCCTTCCTCCCTTCCCCCCTTCCAATCTCATCTCAACTTCATCCTCCTCCCTCCTCCCGTCAGCGCTTGTATGACTCACCTCCCCTGTATCCGGAATGCTCCTGCACAGCGTCTGCCCCACGTCAGATGGACTAACAGCTCAAGAGGTGAACTGTACCTGCCACGAGGACACGTAGGAGCCAACATACGTGCCAATCTGAACAGCAAGGGTACGTATGATTCCCTTGGACTCCCATGCTAGGATCCCCTAACAAGGCAGGTCAGCTGGAGGGGTGGAGGAGGGCTTCTCACCTCATGCCCCGCAAACCAGACGTCATGCTCCGTTGGAGATATGACGGTCAACCAGGCCTGAGAGATCAAGATGACGAGGGTGCAAAATGATGATGATGATGATGATGATGATGATGATGATGATGATGATGAAGAAGAAGAAGAAGAAGAAGATGATGATGATGATGATGATGATGGAGAAGAAGAAGATGATGATGATAGAGGAGGAGGAAGAGGAGGAGGAGGAGGAGTCATTTGCTTGTTACCTTGGATCGAAGAGCCTCAGCGGCCTCATATCGGAGCGTGAAGTCTTCCAACTGGAAAGGATGGGCGCGTAAGAAGAAGGGCAAGGAAGGAAGTAGCGACAACCTCCTGCTCGATCCCCTTGATGCGGCTGGACTGGCTCGAGTCCTCATCGACAGTTTTGTTCGCGTGTTCCTCAGGTTGGCTGCCGGCTGCTCAACTGGCCCATCAGCAACTACAAGAAGATAGATAAGACCCTGCTCACATGCAGGAGGAAGAGGCAGAGCAGTGGTAGGAGGAGGAAGAGGGCTCCTCCCGGACCTGTCGCCTTGCCCAGCCTCCTGCCGGACATTCAATGAGGGCTCTCCTCGCTTTTCCTCTTATCTTGACCTCCTCCGATGGCGTTTGAGACGAGAACGGCAGGAGGGAAGACGAAGAGGTCGGCACGAACGATCCCGCGGCGCTCACGAGAGAGCCGCTGATGTTGCGCGCTGCCCCCCATACCATGGACCCGCTGTCGACCACCACGGAGCTTGCGTTTGTGATGATACCTGTGGGAAGAACATGTAAAGGAATGTTGCAGCAAGGGAGGGATGCCATGAATGGGAGCAAGGGAGAAATAGTGCGAGTAAATCATATCAATCATGGTCATCGTCGCCGTCATCAACATTGTCCTCCTCCTCCTCCTCCTCCTCCTCCTCATCGCTATCGTCGTTACCACTACCATCACCATCGCCATCGATCTCCCTCTCCTACCTGGCACAGGAAGCGATTGCAGGATCCCCCATCTTGGCAGCTGGTCTGGAGCAGGTTGGATGCTGTCCAATCGATCGTAGAGTTCTCGTTGCAGGGAAGCGATCTTCTTTGGGGCGAAGCACAGGATACAGAGAACCCCAGAAGCAGGAGGCTCCGATCCTCCTCCTGCTCCCTCCGCTCCCTCCGCTCCTCCTACCTTGTCTCCCACGAGCTCTCTGAAAATTTCTTCCCCCTCCCCTTCGACATCGTCCTCCAATCCCCAACCATCCTTAGCATGCGAGCTGCAGAAGTCATGCCGGCATTCGGCGCAGCGGTACCTCCATATGTATGTGAAGGGAGCATGGCAGACGTAGCATCTCCCCTCCTTCTTCGCCATGTCTCTCACCCCCTCCTCCTCTCACGTTCGCCCTTCCACGTCCATCCCCAGCATTCACGCATTCCCTCCCTCCATCGCATCCCCCCCCCGGTGCGCTAACTACTAAATAAAACCCTCCATCCGCCCCGACCTGCCCGCCTGTTTCCCGACCTGCCAGTTCCTCACCCCCCGCCCCTTCCCCTTCCTCCTCCCCTTCCTCCTCCCCTTCCTCCCTTTCCTCCTCCCCTTCTTCCTCCTCCCCTTCCTCCTTCCCCTTCCTCCTCCCCTTCCTCCCTTTCCTCCTCCCCTTCCTCCCTTTCCTCCTCCCCTTCGTCCTCCCCTTCTTCCTCTACTTCCTTCTCCTCGTCCTTCATCTCGTCCTTCGTCTCGTCCTGTCCCTCCCTTTCTCCCTTTCCAGATGTCTGTCAGCTCGCGTAGATTGTGCTGTTTCATATTTGCATGCCTGCTTTCCTCTGCCGGAGGAGCAGGACAGGAGCAGGAGCAGGAGCAGGAGCAGGAGCAGGAGTGCTTCAGGGTTCTGTATCCTCCACCGAATCACGTCGTGACATCGGAAGAGGCGGCAGGAGGCGTGGAGGTAGAGCTTCAAGTCAACTGCGAGGAGGGGAAGGGCAGCAGAGCGAGACTGCTACAAGTCTACGGAGCCACAGGCGACGGGAGGCCCGGGGATCTCCTATGGCAGCGCAGCATTGACGATCCTCTAGGGGAGATCATGGCGGTGAGATGGAACATCATGCCGGAAGGAGGGAGCAGGGAGGGTTTTAGAGACTGGCACTGCTCAGGGTGGCGGCAGTGGAGATGGACGGTGCATCGAGAGGAGGGAGAGCCGGAGCACCAACTTGTGCGCATGCGGGCTCCCCTCCTCGAGCATGCCTTGGAACGAGTCGCCTCCGTTGCGGGGAGGGAGGGCAGGGTGCCGTTTGCCCTCCAGGTAGGAGCCATGGACGGGGTAGAGCACGATCACCTGTACCCCTTCCTGGCAGGGGGAGGGTGGGGGGGGCTGCTCGTAGAGCCTCTAAGGGACTACTTCCATGCTCTCGTGCGGAACTACGGCAACGGGACCAGTGGCAGGGAGGAGGGAGGAGGGAGGCTCAAGTTCGCCAACAAGTGCATCGCGGAGGAGGACGGCAGGAGCGTTATGTACCGCCTGCCGCCGGTGGGACAGGAGGAGGGAAGGGACGCGGTCTGATGGTGGTGAAGGGAGCAGTAAGTCCTGAGGTGATGCACAAGTTCGGACTGGATGGCAGCTCGTCCCTCCTTGCAGGTGAGACCTGCTGCTGCTGCTGGTGGTGGTGCTGCTGGTGGTGGTGCTGCTGCTGGTGGTGCTGCTGCTGGTGGTGCTGCTGCTGGTGCGGCTGGTGGTGGTGGTGGTGGTGCTGCTGCTGGTGCTGCTGCTGCTGCTGCTGGTGCTGGTGCTGCTGCTGGTGGTGGTGGTGCTGCTGCTGCTGCTGCTGCTGCTGCTGCTGGTGGTGGTGGTGGTACTGCTGCTGCTGCTGCTGCTGCTCTCGCAATTTTTGAGCTGTCGAGGAAGATGAAGATGGATTGCCGCCGGGGGATGGCGATGACTCTGTCGAAGCACAAGGAGCTGAGGGTGAGTGCGCTGGTTGTGAAGGAGAGGAGGACCGACAGTTTGTCCCCAGGGAGAGCGTCATTAACAGCATCGTTGCTGAGGAGGTGGGATTGTCAGTCGATGTCGTCGCTGCTGAAGGAGCATGCGATCACGAGGATAGACGTGCTGGCAGGTGAGGAGGAGGAGGAGGAGGAGGAGGAGGAGGAGGAGAAAGGGAAGGAGAGGAAAGGGGAGGATGCTGGTCAGCATTGCAGCATGATAAGACATGTGTACTAGTTGACACCGAAGGTTATGACCTCAAGATAGCCAAACAGTTCTTCGAGATCTCCCCGCAAGACTGCACAAGGTAGCGATCGCCCCCTCCCCGCTGCCCTGCTGTAGCCTGCGCGAATCACCCGCCGCCTCCTTCCTCTGACTCTCCTCTCCTCTCGCAGGCCTCAGGTCTTGTTCTTGGAGGTCGGATTGCTCAGCCCGGAAGATCATGAAGAAGCCGTTGCCTTGCTGGAGGTTGAACCGGGAGAGGAGGAGGAGGAGGAGGAGCTGACGCCTGCACAGGGCAACGGGTATCGTGCGATGCACTGCGGCTATGGGATGGAACTCCTGGGGATCTCGAACGGAATCGACAGGGAGGACGATGAGGCATAGAGGGATGCAGAGACGGGCTCGCACTCAAGTCAGTTCCTGTTTGATCATCTTCCCTCGATTCCACGTCCCTTCCCGGATCACCGCCTCGTCGTTGACGACCTCGATCAAAATCCCTTTCCCGTGCTTCAGCCCTCGGAAGAACTCTCCCTTGAAGGTTGTCTCCCCGTCCGCGTACATGAGCATCCCTGTACCATCCCACCTTGTTCAGCCTCCTTCCCCACCTCCCGCTTTTCTCTCAAGAGAGACCCCTCCCCTTTCTCGCCTCCTCTACCCCCGTCTCTGAATCCCCCTTCTCCTTTTTCTTCCTTCCCTCTTGGCCTTCCCCCTCCTGATACTCCTGCTTCTCCTTGGTTTCTGCTCACCTTCCCCATACGGCTTGCCGTCTTCCATGCTTCCCTCATACACATCTCCATTGCTGTATCTCAAGGTCCCCTGCAGCATCCTCGTCATCCGCCATGGGCTCCTGCTCCGTCCCGCCTCCTTTCCTCGCCTTCCTCTCCTTTCTTCCTCCCCTTCTGCCGCTGCCTCCAACAACTCGCCCTCCTCACCTTCCCCGTCCTCTTTCCTCGCAAGAAGTCTCCCTCGTACTGGTTCCCGTTGGCCTGCACATACTTTCCTGTCCCGTGCGGCAAGTGGTTCAGCCACTCGCCCTCGTAAACCTGAAAGTTGATCAGAGGGGTAGGGGAGCTCGTCAAAGGTTTTCACCTCCCCATGGGCTGATTGGTAGGTGCCGATACCGTGCATGCTGTCCTCCACGAACCTTCCCTCGTATAAGTCCCCATGGGCTGATCTCCACGACCCTGAACCCCATAACTTGTCGAAGCTGAAAGAGACTGCGATCAGAACAGGAGCAGGAGCAGTAGAGCAGTAGAGCAGGAGCAAGTGCAGTATGATGCAGTTGAATATGATCGTAAGGATAGAAGAGTAGAAATACCGGAATTCTCCCACGTACTCGCTCCCGTCGTGCTTGAGCAGCTTCCCGTAGCTGCAAATAGCGTTGGTGGTGTACAGTGTGAAAGGTGAAAGCAGGTGAACGAATCAAGAGTGTATAGAAGGAAAGTAAGAGCAGAGAAGAATGAGGGATGACTGGCTGCGTTACCCGTGCCTCTTGTCTTTTCTCCATTCCCCATCGTACATGTTCATGTCAGCGTTGAACTTCCTCTCTTCTGCGGAGTTTGATACCATCCCTCCATCCGCTGTTGGCTGCACTTCTCCGTCCCCCTCCTCCTTCTTGCCCTGCAGCTCGTCCATTTCTTCGCGTTGCTTCTCCTGGACCTCCTGCTGCTTCCCTCTCCACCCCTCCCCCTCGCTCTCCTCTCGTTTAACCGGCTCCATCAAGATCCCCTTCCCTGAGCCGCGATCAATTTGGCAAGCATATCAGCTGTGTTCCTCACCATGGCGAAGGCCCTCTTGGAACTCTCCCTCGTAGAGAGCTATCATCTCCTCTCCCTCATTCCACTGCATCGTCCCACTACCATGAGCCATCCCCTATCGACCATCTCACTGTCAGTTCCCTTCCTTTCTCTCCTTGTCACATCTGCTACCCTCCCTTGTCCCCTACTCTTCAGTCCCGCCCCCAACCCAACAACTCCCCCCCCCCTTCCCGCCACCTCCTCCCCTCCCCCTTCCCTCACATTCTCGAATTGTCCAGTGTAGACCACCCATTTTCCTTCAGACTGAGCTGACGAGAACCTGTTGAGGAGGAAGGAGGGAGTGAGTAAGTCCTCTATGACTGCACGCTTCTCACCTTCCGTTGCCATGCTTGTAGCCTGCCTCATAATCTCCTTCATACCGCGAGCCATCGACGTACTGCATTCTCCCCCTTCCATGCCGCACACCACTCGTATGTTCCCCATGATAACTGACATTAACGTCAACCTCCACTTCCATGCACCTTCTCCTCCTCCTACCAGGATCCGTCCGCCCAGGTGTGCTTCCCTGCCCCTCCTACCTGCCCCTCCAGCCACTGCCCCATGTACATGCTCCCGTCCGGCCACTTGCCCGTTCCCCGACCGTGCCGGTATCCTCGCACCCACTCCCCCATGTATTGTGCTCCATCATCGTGATCCTGCCTGCCGTAGGCAACCTGCTGCTGACCTCTCCCGTCCTCTACTTCGTTATTGGCGGCAGCATCGTCTGGCTGACTCTCTCCTTGCGTGTGACCGTCATGACCCGTCGACTTCGCTACCTCCTTTCCTTCCTCTCCCCCAGCCTCGTCACCATCTTGCAGAGGAATGATCGCTTCTGCATAGTCTTCCCCTGCAGTCCCTTGGAACGGGCCGGAGTACGTGGTGTCCTTCACCCGGAGAGAGCCGTACTTCCTCCTGCGGCAAAGTTGAGGGCTCTAACAGAGACTGACGCGTCAGGGGACTTACACGTCTGACTGGAAGCTCCCCACAAAGACTGTTTCTTCGCTGTACTGCATGATCCCTTCCCCCTGTTTCTTGCCTTGAACAAACTCCCCGTGATAGATCTCTCCTTTGGGGGTGGAGAACTGCCCCTTCCCGTGAAGGACCCTGTCGTGAAGTAAACGGTCACAATTTTTGTACCCTTCCCTCCCTCCCTTCCCTTCCTCCCCTCCCTCCCTTCCCTTCCTCCCCTCCGTCCCCTCCGTCCCCTCCCGCCCCTCCCGCCTACCCATCGTAAAACTCTCCGTCGTAGATGTATCCTTCC